AGCTACGTTAACGTGGCTGTAACATATGTTCCTGAAGGTTCTACCATGCCAGGCAGGTCGACTGGGAAACGGCAAACCTTAAAGCAGCAACTCAAGATCTGAATGGTGAAGTCGACGGATGACTGTAGAGGGATGTGGCAGAAGTAACATGTTTCCCTCGGACAACCAGCATCTGGAGTGATGCTACCCCTTAACAAGGAAGGAAGCGTTTGGAAGACGTCGACCTTAAAATTTTCATATCTCACCTTAGCCTACGGATTTACGTCTCTAGCGGTAAGGCTTTTTTTAAAGAGCGAAGCTAACAGATTGAAAACTTTACATAAAAAGGCCGTGCGTAACCGGCTTCAATCAGTTGTCCCTTGGACTCTATCCTAAAACCCGCTCCAAACTACATGTTTGAGCTTTCAATGTCCGGACATTTAGCCACAGAGAACAACAGGCTTCGTTGGCTAGGACTTTATAATCTAGCACCATCAATGTATGCTGCGTCTCCGAAACGCGCAGGCAGAATCCAAGTAGTGTCATTCATTTGACATGACCTTCTTCGGATAGAGAACCAACTTAGTTAACGCTCCGTGTATCTGCGGTACCTGCTGGCACTGCACGTGGTCTCGCTGGTGTAGATATAGCACAGAGTCCTAGAGCGGAACTAGCTCTATTGGACTGGATTCCAGCAGACAGTCGCTTATGCGCTGTCAGACTAAACGGGACAGTAAGTACTCACAAACAAAGGGACAAGCCATTGCCTCTCTGTTGTCTATTCCAATGCTCACATTGATTGTAACTCAGACGGGGTGAAAGATTAATTTTGCAGAAAGCTTTCTAACCTTTTGCAAAAGTTTAAACGCTCTGACGTAGTAATGACTGGTGACTTCAGTGCTTAATTAGGTAGACTAAGCGAAACTAAACGACATCTGGTGGATCTTATAGTGTTGTGACTAAACGGACAGATAATGGTGAACTTCTGCTGCAGCTATGCTCAGATAATCGCCTATATCTAGTAAATACTAACTTTGAGCATAAGGAAACACATCTTTCGACATAACTAACACCTTAAACGACTCAACAAGACCACCCCCGACCATAGCTGCTACCTTAACGTGGTGGTCGGGCTTGCCTAACGTGATGACCCAACCGAGATGTATTGGTTAGAACATATGTTCCTGTCGGTCCTACCATTCCAGGCAGGTCGATTGGAGAACGATGAGACTAAAAGCAGCTACTCAAGGTCTGAGGGCGAAGTCGTACTGCTGACTGCAGAGGGGTGTGACAGCAGTAAGGTGTTTCCCTCGGACAACCAGCATCTGCAGCGATGCTGCCTTCTCACAAGGAAGGAAGGGTTAGAAAAGGTCGACCCTAAAAATGTCACACCTCCCCTAACTCACGGATTTCCGTCTCCTTGGGTAAGGGTGCCCACTAAGGGCCTTTAAGAACGGAGCTAACACTCATAAAACTTCTCATAAAAAGGCCGTCCGTGACCGACCTCAAGCAGTTGTCCCTTGGACTCTGCGGTCACGCACCCAGGTCTCTAAGACCAACGTTAATATACCTTCCTTTTCAGGTTCCTCTAGAAACAACCTTCCACGGTGTGGGCAGCCGGGAAGTGACAACCGCCCTCATACCTGTAACAGCACGCGAGACCAAATTGGTCAAAATCAAATCCTTGCTACACCAACCCACACCTCTCTTATCTCCACGACTAACTCTTCTCACATTCCTTTATCACAGTGCACAGCTAATGCAAACGATGCGAGCTCACGAAACGTTATTCCTGATCTCCTGAAACCCCGTTCTATACTACATCTTGGAGCATTTAATGTACGGACATTGTGTCAAATAGGGCAACAGGCATCATTAGCTAGGACTTTGAAATCTCGTGTCATCGATGTGTGCTGCGTCTCGGAAACGCGCATACAGGATCCTAGTAAAATTATTAATCTGATTTCTCCTTGTCAAAATAAAGAAGCACCTCGATTTACTCTTCGTGTATCCGGTAGCCCTGATGCTGCCTCCAGGGGTCTTGCTGGCGTAGGCATAGCAATGAGTTGTATAGCTGAACAATCTCTCCTTGATTGGATGCCAGTAGATAGTCGCTTATGCGCTGTCCGACTAAACGGGACAGTAAGGACTCGGAAAGATAGGGACACTCGTCGTTGCCTCTTCATAGTATCTGCCTATGCCCCCACTGACTGCAGTTCAGACGAGGTTAAAGATGAGTTTTACAGAAAGCTTTCGGACCTCCTCCAAAAAGCTAGGCGCTCTGACATAGTATTAATGGCTGGTGACTTTAATGCTCAAGTAGGTAGACTAAGTGAAAATGAAAGACACCTAGGTGGATGTTATGGTGTCGCGGCTCAGAGAACAGACAAGGGTGACCGTCTGTTGCAAGTATGCTCAGATAACCGCCTATTCTTAGCAAACACTAACTTTAGGCATAAGGAAAAGCATCTCTTGACCTGGCGACCTCCAAAGTCGTCTCAACGTTGGACGCAACTAGATCACATCGCCATCAGCCACCGATGGAGGGGTTCGATAGAAGACTGTCGCTCGTTCTGGGGCACATGTCTAGATTCAGATCATGCCCTAGTGCGAGCGCGTATTTGTTTGAAGCTTACTGGGCGTAGGAAAGACACCGTAAGAAAGCCTCTTAGGGTTTTACTTAATGATAATGAGGTAAAGAAAATATTTCAGGAACAACTAGAAAGAGAGTTAGAAGACCATATAAGCGATTCCCATCCGGAGGCAGCTTGGAAATGATATCAAAAAGGCTGTGGAAACAGCAGTGATATCTGCTAGTAAGGTTGACCATAAGGCTAGAATGAAGCCGTGGGTCTCAGTAGCATCCACCGATCTCATAGATGCCCGAAAACTCATCCCACCTGGCTCTGAACATGATGACGAACGAAGTCAACTTAGGCGCAGACTTATAAAAAGCCTACGTAACGACCGCGAACAGTGGTCGGTGGCGAAAGCAAAAGCGATGGAAAAGGCTGCGGCGATCGGCAACAGTAGACAACTTTTCCGACTTATCAAGCAAACTGGTATTAGGAATCCTAGTGTAAGTGAGACTATCTCAAAAAATGACGGGACTATTATTTATTATCAATCCAGGAGACTGGATCGATGGGCAGAACACTTTAGGGATCAGTTCAACTGGCCTCGAGCCACTCTTCGGATACCCACGATCTTCAGTCATCCTGAATGGCAAATCGACGTAAGTCCCCCTAGTCTTAATGACACTGAAAAAGCGTTAGGAAATGTGAAGCGAGGGCGAGCTGCGGGTCCTGATAGACTGACCCCTGAGATATTCAAGGATGGTGGTCCAGTTTTAGCAGCTAGGTTGACTGAGATCTTAGGCAGAATATGGGAACTGGACGTGATCCCATCCGACTGGTCTCAATCACTGATTGTCCCAATCTATAAGAAAGGACAGAAGTCTTCTTGTGACAATCACAGGGGAATAAGTCTAACTAATATAGTATCTAAAATATTGACCTCAATATTATTGGAACACCTAACTAGAGATCGTGAAGAGCAGACTAGAGAAAACCAAGCTGATTTCAGACCTGGACGTGGCTGTATACATCACATATACACACTACGACAGGTCCTGGAACACAGAACCACATTTAGGCGTCCTACAATAGTTGTTTTCCTGGACCTAAAAGCGGCATTTGACTCAGTGGGTCCTGAGGTTCTGTGGCAGTGTCTGTCATTGAAAGGTGTACCAAAGAAGTACATTAACCTTATACAAGCTCTCTACTCGAACACCGCTGGTCCAGTGAGAGCTTATGGCGAACTGTCACCGGAATTCCTCACTTCAAGTGGTGCCCGTCAGGGATGTCCACTTTCTCCATTCTTGTTTAATTTTATCATAGACATGCTCCTAGAAATAACCTTATCCTCGTCTGAATTTTCAGGAGTAGACCTTTTACCTGCTGGCTCGCTTATTGACTTAAAATATGCCGATGACATTGTCCTACTTGGTGAAGACGCTGACAAAATGCAGAGTCTTCTGACTACCCTAAGCAACAATGCAAGCATGTTCGGGATGCGGTTCTCACCCTCGAAATGCAAAATGTTGCTTCAAGATTGGGTTTCATCGGCACCTGAACTAGTGATAGGGAGTGAAGTAGTCGAACGTGTAGACCGCTTCACTTATCTTGGGAGTCTCATCAGTGCCGATGGCCTGGTGACTGACAAAATCTCAGCACGGATACAGAAGGCTCGATTGGCTTTTGTCAACCTGGGTCACTTATGGCGTAGACGAGATATCCGTTTGCTGACTAAAGGACGAGTGTACTGCGCAGTGGTTCGCTCCGTGTAGGAGTAAGCTGGAAGAACGCTGGGGGCGGCCAAACCAAAACATGGCAGAAATCTATGAAGTCACTGACAAGTGGAATGAGTCATGTCGGTAGGTGTAGACTACCTGGTTGAGGTCCGCAAGATGATAATAATTGGTGGTTAGAACCCTCAGTGACATGGCTCAAAACCGTTTGCAATGGCGCCGGTGCATTTACTCTTAGTGTTCTATGAAATTCTTACCTTCTGAATTCCTCACCGCCTCTATTTCTGTCTTTCTAAATTTACCTCACTAAATTATATTTCTTGAATAAAATCTTCGAACCCTAATCTCTCCGATTACTTCTAATACTTTTACCACCTCTACTACTATGTGACTTGAATTGACAATTGCGTCTCTATGTTAATGTGGTGTGGCAGCCTGAACATTGCACGTTGCAGCTGACTGACTAAATGACTGTTGAATTCCTTTCCCAACTGAAGTCGTCGGAATCAGCTATGAAACTCTTTGATCAACTTCCAAACAATTCGAGACTTCAAAGGAGAAGAGTTTAAGTAATGAACTTTAAAATTATTTTAACACGAACATATAAAACAGTTTGATACGTTACGTTTACGCTTTGACCATATTTACAGATATTTTAGCAGTTTAGAACGACTAATACAAGAAACTAAAGAGGAAAAACAAATTTACCAACCTGGAGTAGGAACAAAACACCTTTGTATATGTTATCATAGATAATATCCTTGAGCTGTTCGAGTTCACGGTTTGTAAAATGTTTCCCATTGATAATTTTTATTTGCTTGAGAAAAGTACTTTTTCCACTCTCACCAGTACCCAATAGTAAGATCATCTGTCTTTGACGAAGACGAATCTTCTCCTTTTTCAATTCTTTTTCTATTTCTCTGTTACGCTTTTGCTGCCACTTAATGATTTCACGGTCATCGATTGACTCCTTTGGAAGAGCACAGCAAGCAAAGAGTGACAAGGCCACCGACATTGGCTGCACATAAAAGTAACGAAAATACATTTTCGAGAATAAATTTATTAGAACAATAACAACTCAGTGACCAACCTCATGTTTGTGTAATAGGCTTTGAGTTACACGTATTAATCAATTTATATTGACAGAAAAACACGGCTACCAACTGAATAGTAACCTTTCTGAAGTTTACGAAAATATTTTAAAACTAAGAAAGACTTTTTAGCACTAAAAGTTGTAGGTCTTTTAAATTTTACGAGTGAAAATAATATTAATTAAAGTAAGAAACCTTAAATCAAATAGATATTTGAGTTGGAAAACAAATAACCATAAAAATAAATGTTAACAAAGCCACTAGAATTATATTTTTTCAATATATGCAGTTACTACATATTAAAGCACTGTTAAAATGTATACACAATTCCCAAGTCATATTAGTAAAAGGACATTTCTTATTTTTCTCACATGGTAAAACAATAGCTTTTATCAGATCTGGGAATCCTAGGAGCTGACGAATAACTCCTTAAGTGGTTTACTGGGTTTCTTATTGGCAGTCGATGTAACTACAAGTCAAATCAAGGATTTCTTTATGGCAATCAGTAATCGGTAGAGTACAGCAAGAAACAACACTAAGTTTATTACTATTAATTTTCCATCACTTCCATTAACATTAAAATATAAGAGAAATAGAGTATGATGCCAACATACATACACTCCAGGTTAGTCTCAATGTTTCGGTAAGCTGGCTTTAAAAAATTATTGCCAATCAATGCACTTAATTGTCTTCACGTACGTGGAGCATGGAGTGATGCAAAAATGCCTGGACATCTTTACAATTGGTCCTAACTCAGAATCACCTAAGAGTCGTGGTAAATTATAACTTTAAGGTAGTGATTTGATTCTATTTGATGGCAACTAAAGGATGACAGGCCTTCAGAAAGTTAGACAAAAGGGTTTTAACTATCATTTACACACTTCCAATTTGATACAAACAGGTTAATTGTATACAGCTCTAAGCCTTCCTAACAGGTGACTTGAAATTTTTGAGGAAAGTACATATGATAGCTACTCTTGAAGTCTGGGAGATGTTGATTTAGCTTACGGTGACCTGCTTTATAATTTAGACCATTTCACACTGCAGGAGATTTAGGTGAACTAATTGTGAATTGGGGGATAGCAAATAATTGTGGACCAGTAATAACCTATTTTTTCTGTCAACCGATTCACCATAATTCGGAAGATACATCAATCGGGCTCATAATCCGCATTCACCAAAAGACTCTTGGGACCTGCTGCTATAGGAACCAGTTTCTACGCTTTTGCGAGATATGTTCAAGATACCAAGTTCTGAATCAAAATATGGAAGAACTAATGCATATCTACGACCCTCTTAACAGAGGTAGATAGTGGTTAGGAGTGCGCTTCATCCTATTTGGGACTCATCAGCTGGATGTACCTATACCTCAGATTTGATGTGTACTCAGAGGCTCGAACCCATCACCGTTCGTTTCAAACACCACCAAGTTATACACCTAGCTACTGAGTTCAGATAGTCATTCGCTTATGCAATGGCATAAACATCAACTCTGAGATGCACGTACACCTAGCCGACAAGTCCCAAATAGGATGAAACGCTCTTACTGGATTTTCTACAGCCAGCTACTATCAACATCCTCGAAGAATGCTTTTAACCGACAAGTAATATCGAGGGGATCCGCATAGGATACATATATGCCAAAGAGACTAATAAATTGCAATCCTAAACATCATTGAAAAAATTAAGACAACCAATAAATATGAACTACGATCACCTGTCCTCATAACACCTACCTGTAGTAGGACAATTGTGCACCCTACGACTAGCTATTATTTTAAACTGCCACCCTTCATAGCAGCACAAAATTCAACGAAGAATACTAGGTTACGAGACAGAATTTATAAATGTGATGAATGTTGAAAAACTACGGAAAAAAAATCACTTGCCAACAGTGACCAACGCCGAACAATATAACGATTCACACCCAGGAGCTTCTTCTATGTACATTATGAGATTGTCATTGACATCTCATTTGAATAAAAATTTCTAAATACAGAATTATAATGCCTACTTCGATACTACCAGTAATGGGAAAAAGCGAGTGTCTACTGAAAGTACACGGTGTTTAAAAATCTCGTCGTTCATTCTATCAAATGGCCTTTGGATAGTTTTACTTAACGGTGAGAATCGAAAAATTTCAACTGTGTCAATATGCGTAGTCCTACAATAACTAGGAAGTTTAGTGATGATACCTAGGTGTACTTTCGGACCATCGAAACCTAAGAATTCCTAGTGAAAGCTGCTGAAAATAGAAAGTAATTTCAATCGCGAAAACTTGCTAAGTGCTTGTATATTTCAAGGGAAAATAATACTCTAAGTATCGTCTGTAAGTTTAGAATGTGAATAAGTAAATTACTGCATGAATTTTATCGGCTTAGGTCAAGAAATTTTTAAATTTATAAAATCGGAACCTATTAATGGAGTTAATTTTAATGAACCTGTTTTGTGACGGAGTGCTATGATTGTAGGTCAAAAGAAGCAAGGACGCCCTTACCGCACGAAAGTAACCCAAACGTCGAAAAACGCGCCTCCCTGTTTCCGTTTCGGTTTTGTGCAGCCAGCATAAGATCTCCAATATGATGCAATTTTTCGCTTAATAGATTGGCAACTATGTCTTTAATGACATGATGAAGCTAATGGTTATACTTGTTTAATTCAAATAGTAGATAACTAGTTCTAGGCTTATTATTCTAAGTAAATTATACGTCCCTCAAGGAACGAAGATTGTAGTGAAGATCTTATATAAAATTAGAAGTGTCTAGCGCTTACAGTGTTGTTAGTTTCCCGTGACTCCTAATGGTAATAAATTGATAACTCCCTAAGCTTAGTAGTCTTGGAGGTATACGCCGTTCAATTTAAATCTCTTAATTTGAATGTGCACTACTCGCTAAAGGTGCAGGATTTAATTTATCCTACAGATGTAATTCTAGAACTGTAAACGCCATATTGGCGAGCACAGAGTCTATGGGAAAGCTACAGTTAAAACACGATCAACTTTGCTTGAAACTTTATCTGTTTCTAAACATAAAAACAATTACATTAGTACAATGAATAAGGAAATTACAATTATCAAGTTAGACGAGCAAACGTACCGACCAATATAGCGTGTCTTATGGAGATGAGTACAGTTATGAGTCCCATCAATATAATAAGATAATAATGTCAATCAATTTGTAGGTCATTTACAACAAAGGAGGTTTACAGACACGTCAGGTCAGATCCCGTGGTGGGCGCTTAAACCGCAATCTGATTGGTTGGTTATCGTATTGTGGTGCGAGCTACTCATTAGGAGTATATAACGTGAGTGTCAACGTAATGTCTGGCAGCAGAAGATGGGAGAAGATCAAGAAAGGAAGAGTTAGAACACAATGGAATTTGTATGAAACGCATGAATAGTGACAATGGATTGATGTTTTGCAACAGGAACAGTTCAGTTCGATATGATGAACTGATATTTTGCAAATTAACGATTTACGATATGGTTTTCCGATTTTACTAAGTAACTCTGTAATTTTCGTTAAATACAATTCGGTTGCCCCACCTGTGTTCTCCTTCACTACAGTATAGCTACAATTAGTTATAATAAAACTAACAAAAGGCTCGTGCTTCCCCCATTTCTAAAAACAGCTAAGCCTACTTTTTCTCCCAACGGCCATATAAAGATGTGGAAGGAACTAGTACCACCCATTAAAAGAACCCAGTGTAGGTAGGTTGCCTGTCCGTATACTATTGACTCAGACAACCAGCAATTGCAGCAATACTGACTTTTCTTTTCACCATATTATCTGTTTGCATGTTCGCGCGCATGAATTTAATTCTCGCAATCTAATATTCATTTATCTTCTGATTTCAGGTATCGCCCTGACATTACTTGCTTATAGGTAATATGTGTATGTTCATGTCACATTCAACCATTCTTTTGAATGAGTCAGAACACGTGACAAAAATGCCCGACTTCGATAACAAGTATTGTGAAATCTGCTTATGAAGTATTCCTAGCTTGATAAGAGAAATAATTGAAGGCCGCCGAACAGTTTTCTCCAACCAACTCTGTCCTGTGCTTCACTTTCTAGTTCTTGCCAGATTTTGTTCATTCTTTCTATGTCTTTCTCCACTTCTCGGCTTAATGTGTTCCTTGGCCTTCTTCTTTTCCTTTCGCCTTGAGGGTTCCATGTGAAGGCTTGTCTTGTGACTCAGCTGGCTGCTTTTCTCAGTGTGTATCCTATCCACTTCCACCGCTTCTTCCTGATTTCCTCCTCCACTGGAATCTGGTTTATTCTCTCCCACTGTAGGTTGTTGCTGATAGTATCTGGCCAACGAATACGAAGTATTTTGCGTAGACAACTGTTCATAAATACTTGTACCTTCTGGATGATGGTTTTCGTAGTTCTCCAAGTTTCCGCTCCATACAGTAGAACTGTCTTGACATTTGTATTGAAAATCGTGATTTTGGTGTTGGTTGATAGTTGTTTTGAGTTCCAGATGTTTTTCAATAGTAGAAATGCAGCCCTTGCTTTGCCGATCCGCGCCCTCACATCTCCGTCGGATCCACCTTGATTGTCGGTTATGCTGCCCAGATATGGAAAGGTGTTAACGTCCTCCGAGGCATCTCCATCAAGAGTGATTTGGTCGGTGCACGTGTTGCATCGGAGAATCTTGCTTTTTACTTTATGTTGAGACCTGCTGCTGCTTCACTGGTCGTCTTTTCTTGCATTTGTTCTTGAGTGTGAGATAGAAGAGCCAGGTCATCTGCGAAGTCCAAATCGTCCATCTGCGTCCTAGCTGTCTATCGGATACCGTGCTTTCCTCCAGATGTTGACATCTCCATGACACAGGAGAGTAAGCAACCTTGCCGGACACCGGTCTTCATCTCGAAAGAGTCTGTTAGCTGTCCTGAGTGTACGATTTCGCAGTTGAAGCCATCATAAGATTTCTGTATGATTTTAACTATCTTCTCAGGCACACCGTAGTGTCGACGAAGCCTCCACAGTGTTTTCCTATCCACGCTATCAAATGCTTTCTCGTAGTCGATGAAGTTGATGTAGAGTGGTGAGTTCCATTCAACTGATTGTTCCACAATGATCCGTAATGTAGCAATTTGGTCAGTACATGATCGATCCTTACGAAATCCTGCCTGTTGATCTCGAAGTTGGGCGTCTACGAAGTCCTTCATTCTGTTTAACAATACTCTGTTGAAGACTTTGCCTGGTATTGAAAGAAGAGTGATGCCTCTGTAGTTTTCACACTTGCTGAGATCGTCTTTCTTCGGTATTTTGATGAGGTATCCTTCTTTCCAATCTGATGGTACTTGTTCCTCATCCCAAATCTTCTTGAAGAGAATGTGAAATATATTTGCAGTTGCTTCTACATCTGCTTTCATTGCCTCTGCTGGAATGTTGTCTGGTCCTGCTGCTTTGCTGCTCTTGATTTGTCTGATGGCCATACTGATCTCCTCAATCGTAGGTGCGCCAATATTAATTGGGAGGTCCGTGGATGCTGCTTCGATGTTGAGTGGGTTCAGTGGAGCTGGTCGATTCAGGAGTTCCTTCAAGTGCTCTGCCCACCTATTTCTCTGTTCTTCAGTTTTGCTGACTACTTCGCCTTCCTTGCCTTTCACTGGTCGTTCTGGTTTACGATAATATCCGGCCAGCTCAGCTGACATTGATTGCTGCCCTCTTGTTCCTCCTTTCTTTAATTTTTTCAAGAGTATCAACAGAGATCCCATCCTTGTGATGGTACTTCTTATAACCCAGAACATCGATACATGTCGAAGTAATTGCCCCCTTGATCCCTCTCCAATTGTTCTCCAATGTTGCTTTCTCTCCATTGAGTATATTGTGCAAGGCCTGGAACCTATTGGTGAGGGCTATCTTGAATTCGTTGAGTTTTACTGTATCCTGAAGAAAGTCCGTATTCAACTTTTGCGATGTTGATCTGAGGCCACGTCAGCTCCTCTCTTGGTTCTCACATCGTCCATAGTCCTTCTGAACTTTTTATTGATACAGATATGGTCGATTTAGTTCTGAGTGATGTGTTCCGGTGAAATCCATGTAGCTTTGTAAATGCGTTCGTGCCGGAATATTGTCCTACCGATGACCAGTTTGTTGAAGTGATATAGGTTTGCAAATCCCTCATCGTTTTCGTTCCTTTCTCCCAGTCCATGTCGTCCTATGCTGTCTTCATTTCCAGTGTTGTTCACGCCAATCTTGGTATTTAGGTCGCCCATCAAAATCATCAAGTCTTTTGGTGAGCATCTGTCGACGATTGACTGCAGCCTCTCATAGAATTGATCTTTATCGTCGTCATTGTAGTCATTGGTAGGTGCATAGCATCGGATGACGTTCATTATAATACTTTCTTTATTTTGAAGGGTGCTTTAATGGTCCTGGGTTCAAGAGATTTCCATCCTATTAGTTCCTTTTGTGCCTGTTTGGACAGCTTCGGTGCAACTCCCTGTGTATGTGAAGCATTTTCCTCTTCATGACCAGAGTATAACAGCAGTTCCCTTGAAGCTAGTCTCATCTGTCCTGCATGTGTCCAATTCGTTTCGCTGATTCCAGGCTCCTCCAGGTTGTATCTTCTCATTTCTGCAGCAACTTGAAAAAGTCTTCCAGTCTCCCACAATGTACGAACGTTCCATGTACCTAAAAGAATGGTTGCTCTGGTTGTCAGAAGAGGCATCGGCCGCGTGACTTCCAAGTATACTTGGCCTTCATCACGCGACGTCATAATTCTTCTTCCAACTCCCAGGGCAGAGTGGAAATGGTTTGAATGATTTCTTCTGGTTAGCGCTTTTTGGTAAGTTATTTTTTTGGTAGGATCGGGTCGACAAGCCTATGCTCAACCCTTCTTCTTTATCCGATCTTGGAACCAGCAGTAGCCCCGAAGTTTCTACTGATGGGGTTGCAGTAAAACTAACATTGAATAAATTTAAAATTGCCGTAAAGTGTTATTATTTGGGAAACTATCTATCATCGCAGATTACCATTTAGTGTATTCGTAGTGGCAGATAAATTGTAATAAATAGTCACCTTATGATTTCTTCTTCCTAACAAACTGACAACGTTCCGAATAAATCTTCACACAGTCTTATTACTACTTTCTGGTTTACCATGGTTTGATATGCTTATTTTCAAAAGTTTTATGGACGTTAATTTTGTTAAGTTCAAGATATCTGTTTGATTTCTTACTGTTATGAGAGCCTTGCAACATCACCAGTCAGAATTCGGAAATCAACTACCTTTGTGTTCTAAACAGATTTCTGACGGCTTGACACGTTCAGTGTGCGCTTCGTGATTAAAATTGAAGCTTTTCAGAGCTGAAAATCTTAGCTGCAATTACTTACCTGAATTTTAAACTCTCAGTCTAAATCTAATATCTTTGCATAAATCCATCAATTTACCTTAACTGTAATAACAGGCCAGCTTTTCTGGAAGTGATCGCAGCATCAGTGAAAATACGGCTATAAATTAAAATATCACTGATGAATACTATGCCACTTCATCCACTACCAATTTAGTTATTTCACGCTACACAACTTTAACTTTTTCGTTGAAGCTTGCAAAGGGCACGTTTTTGACATTTGCGTTACTTCTCGGAAATGAACCATACGTATGCTTATGTTGCGTCCGCTGATGACAAATACCCATTTTTTCGAATGAAGATGGCATTTATGAGCGCATATAAACTTAGTATGTCTAAAATACGTTATTTTTCAATGTTTATTTAAAGTTTGTCCATCGGTCGAGTTTACTTTTATCATGCATGGCTGGTAATAACACTGACATTAATAGTCTTCATCTCTCAACTGTTCCATCTTTCGACAATTGCGTTTGTCATTGACTTCATGTTAGCCGAACATAAACCCCATTACTCCACACATTTTTTAGTAGTATGTGAACGTACTATTAGTTTTCTTTTGCTTAGGTGCGCCAAACTGACGTCGTCGATATACCTATCAACTAGTCAGAATACAACGGCAATGAGTAAATTAGCAATAAAAATAATGGAATCACAGTAGAATCGTTGTTTTGGCTCGTTCGATCAACCCGTGTTACATCAGTCATCACAGGAAAAAGAGTTTAAGGGTGAGGTTAATGTTTAAAGTTAGGTTTGTAACTTGGATTTTTCGAAATTGACTGAAATAAGCTGCGGTTCAAAAGACTAGGGTTAGGTATTCAAGGTTAGACTAGGTTTAGAAACCACACTTAACAATTGGATTTAGGTTTTTCGTGCCAAACCTACTTTATAATGCACTCAAGCTTCATCCCGCTCGTATTTATATATTTAAAAAGTTCGGGAGAGTTTCGGATTTGAGAGTTGGAGTAGGAGAACGCCATGTAATTACACCAACATCCATCATATATTCAATGCGTCACACCATGTAGCATGACCGATAATCTGTCTATTGAAGTGGTACTTCTTCTCTATGATTCTCAATCCTGCGTCATATTCTCTGATTGCTTGCACAAATATTGGATATATCAGTCTCAAGCCTTTCAGAAACAGTAAATTGCTAGCTCTCATTACAGTACTATCCAATATATCTTTAAAAGTACTTTCACCGACCATAGCTGCTACCCTGTCGTGGTGGTCGTGCTTGCCTATCGTTAGAACATATGTTCCTGTAGGTCCTATCATGCTAGGCAGGTCGATTGGAGAACGGTGAGACTAAAACCAGCTACCCAAGGTCTGAGGGCGAAGTCGTACTGCTGACTACAGAGGGGTGTGACAGCAGTAAGGTGTTTCCCTCGGACAACCAGCATCTGCAGCGATGCTGCCTTCTCACAAGGAAGGAAGGGTTAGAAAAGGTCGACCCTAAAAATGTCACACCTTACCTTATCTCACGTATTTTTATCTCTGGCGGTAAGGTCTTTGAAAAACAGCGGAGCTAACACTATAAAGTTCCCATAAAGAGGCCATGCATTATCGACCTCAAGCAGTTGCCCCTTGGGCTTTGAGGTCATGCTCCCAGGTCTCTAACACCAATGCTAATCTACCTTCCTTTTCAGGTTCCTCTAGAAACAACCTTCCACGGTGTGGGCAGCCGGGAAGTGACAACCGCCCTCATACCTGTAACAGCACGCGAGACCAAATTGGTCAAAATCAAATCCTTGCTACACCAACCCACACCTCTCTTATCTCCACGACTAACTCTTCTCACATTCCTTTATCACAGTGCACAGCTAATGCAAACGATGCGAGCTCACGAAACGTTATTCCTGATCTCCTGAAACCCCGTTCTATACTACATCTTGGAGCATTTAATGTACGGACATTGTGTCAAATAGGGCAACAGGCATCATTAGCTAGGACTTTGAAATCTCGTGTCATCGATGTGTGCTGCGTCTCGGAAACGCGCATACAGGATCCTAGTAAAATTATTAATCTGATTTCTCCTTGTCAAAATAAAGAAGCACCTCGATTTACTCTTCGTGTATCCGGTAGCCCTGATGCTGCCTCCAGGGGTCTTGCTGGCGTAGGCATAGCAATGAGTTGTATAGCTGAACAATCTCTCCTTGATTGGATGCCAGTAGATAGTCGCTTATGCGCTGTCCGACTAAACGGGACAGTAAGGACTCGGAAAGATAGGGACACTCGTCGTTGCCTCTTCATAGTATCTGCCTATGCCCCCACTGACTGCAGTTCAGACGAGGTTAAAGATGAGTTTTACAGAAAGCTTTCGGACCTCCTCCAAAAAGCTAGGCGCTCTGACATAGTATTAATGGCTGGTGACTTTAATGCTCAAGTAGGTAGACTAAGTGAAAATGAAAGACACCTAGGTGGATGTTATGGTGTCGCGGCTCAGAGAACAGACAAGGGTGACCGTCTGTTGCAAGTATGCTCAGATAACCGCCTATTCTTAGCAAACACTAACTTTAGGCATAAGGAAAAGCATCTCTTGACCTGGCGACCTCCAAAGTCGTCTCAACGTTGGACGCAACTAGATCACATCGCCATCAGCCACCGATGGAGGGGTTCGATAGAAGACTGTCGCTCGTTCTGGGGCACATGTCTAGATTCAGATCATGCCCTAGTGCGAGCGCGTATTTGTTTGAAGCTTACTGGGCGTAGGAAAGACACCGTAAGAAAGCCTCTTAGGGTTTTACTTAATGATAATGAGGTAAAGAAAATATTTCAGGAACAACTAGAAAGAGAGTTAGAAGACCATATAAGCGATTCCCATCCGGAGGCAGCTTGGAAATGATATCAAAAAGGCTGTGGAAACAGCAGTGATATCTGCTAGTAAGGTTGACCATAAGGCTAGAATGATGCCGTGGGTCTCAGTAGCATCCACCGATCTCATAGATGCCCGAAAACTCATCCCACCTGGCTCTGAACATGATGACGAACGAAGTCAACTTAGGCGCAGACTTATAAAAAGCCTACGTAACGACCGCGAACAGTGGTCGGTGGCGAAAGCAAAAGCGATGGAAAAGGCTGCGGCGATCGGCAACAGTAGACAACTTTTCCGACTTATCAAGCAAACTGGTATTAGGAATCCTAGTGTAAGTGAGACTATCTCAAAAAATGACGGGACTATTATTTATTATCAATCCAGGAGACTGGATCGATGGGCAGAACACTTTAGGGATCAGTTCAACTGGCCTCGAGCCACTCTTCGGATACCCACGATCTTCAGTCATCCTGAATGGCAAATCGACGTAAGTCCCCCTAGTCTTAATGACACTGAAAAAGCGTTAGGAAATGTGAAGCGAGGGCGAGCTGCGGGTCCTGATAGACTGACCCCTGAGATATTCAAGGATGGTGGTCCAGTTTTAGCAGCTAGGTTGACTGAGATCTTAGGCAGAATATGGGAACTGGACGTGATCCCATCCGACTGGTCTCAATCACTGATTGTCCCAATCTATAAGAAAGGACAGAAGTCTTCTTGTGACAATCACAGGGGAATAAGTCTAACTAATATAGTATCTAAAATATTGACCTCAATATTATTGGAACACCTAACTAGAGATCGTGAAGAGCAGACTAGAGAAAACCAAGCTGATTTCAGACCTGGACGTGGCTGTATACATCACATATACACACTACGACAGGTCCTGGAACACAGAACCACATTTAGGCGTCCTACAATAGTTGTTTTCCTGGACCTAAAAGCGGCATTTGACTCAGTGGGTCCTGAGGTTCTGTGGCAGTGTCTGTCATTGAAAGGTGTACCAAAGAAGTACATTAACCTTATACAAGCTCTCTACTCGAACACCGCTGGTCCAGTGAGAGCTTATGGCGAACTGTCACCGGAATTCCTCACTTCAAGTGGTGCCCGTCAGGGATGTCCACTTTCTCCATTCTTGTTTAATTTTATCATAGACATGCTCCTAGAAATAACCTTATCCTCGTCTGAATTTTCAGGAGTAGACCTTTTACCTGCTGGCTCGCTTATTGACTTAAAATATGCCGATGACATTGTCCTACTTGGTGAAGACGCTGACAAAATGCAGAGTCTTCTGACTACCCTAAGCAACAATGCAAGCATGTTCGGGATGCGGTTCTCACCCTCGAAATGCAAAATGTTGCTTCAAGATTGGGTTTCATCGGCACCTGAACTAGTGATAGGGAGTGAAGTAGTCGAACGTGTAGACCGCTTCACTTATCTTGGGAGTCTCATCAGTGCCGATGGCCTGGTGACTGACAAAATCTCAGCACGGATACAGAAGGCTCGATTGGCTTTTGTCAACCTGGGTCACTTATGGCGTAGACGAGATATCCGTTTGCTGACTAAAGGACGAGTGTACTGTGCAGTAGTTCCCTCCGTCTTACTGTATGGCTGTGAAACATGGCCAGTGAGAGTAGAAGATATTCGTCGGTTATTGGTTTTCGATCATAGGTGTCTTCGAAGCATTGCTCGTATATCGTGGGACACCCGAGTCAGCAACGCTGTTATTAGCAAACGGGTGCTAGGTAAGAATGGCAGATCAATCGATGAAGTATTGAAACTTCATCAGTTGAGGTGGCTGAAACATATATTACGAATGCCGAACCACCAACTGCCTCGGCGAGTGATAATGCCTAGTGTAGGCGTAAGCTGGAAGAACGCTGGGGGCGGCCAAACCAAAACATGGCATAAATCTATGAAGTCATTGACGAGTGGACTTAGCCATGTCGGTAATTGTCGACTACCTGGTTGGGGTCCGCGAGATGATAATAATCGATGGTTAGAGACCTTGAATGAAATGGCTCAAAATCGTTCGCAATGGCGCCGGTGCATTTATTCTTTGTGTTCTCTCGAATCCTAATCTTCTGGATTCTTCAACACCTCTAGTTTTTACTTTCTAAACTTATCTCATTGAATCATACTTCTTGAATAATATCTCATTCTAACCTCTCGGATTACTTCTAATACCTTTACTACCTCTTCTACTATTGGTTTTGAATCGACAATTACATCTCTGTGCTGATGTGGTATGGCGACATGAACTGATGTACTTACGTGCGAAGTTCTACGTTGCAACTGACTGACTGACTGACCCTAAAAATTTCACACCTTACCTTATCTCACGGATTTTTATCTCTGGCGGTAAGGTCTTTGAAAAACAGCGGAGCTAACACTATAAAGTTCCCATAAAAAGGCCATGCATTATCGACCTCAAGCAGTTGCCCCTTGGGATTTGAGGTCATGCTCCCAGGTCTCTAACACCAATGCTAATCTACCTTACCTTTCAGGTTCTTCAAGAAACACCCTTCCGCTGTGTGGGCAACCCGTAACAACACGCGAGACCGAATCGATCACTAACAAACCCTAGTTCGAGTGCGTATCTATTTGAGGCTTGCTGGACGTAGAAAAGACACCTCAAGGAAACCTCTTAGGGTTTTACCTAGTGATAATGAGGCTAAGAATATATTACAGGAACAACTAGAAAGAGAGTTAGGCAACCATGTGAGTGATTCCCATCCGGAGGCAGGTTGGAATGATATCAAAAAGGCTGTGGAAACAGCAGTAACATCTTCTAGTAAGGTAAACCATAAAGTTGGGGAGAAGACGTCAGACAGACAGATACAACGCAGCACTTCGTACATAGGTGCATCAGTCCAGGTTGCCATACCACGTCAGCACAGAGACGTAAATTTTCTGTTCTAATCCAAGAGTGATAGCGATATTAGAATTATTAGCAGCAATGGAGAAGCTTAGGGAGCAAAGATAAGATTCAAAAAGTATAATTCAGTGAGATAAATTTAGAAGGACGAAGATAGAGTTTATGAAGAAATCAGAAGGTTAGATATAAAAAGCACACCGAGTGGATGCACCTGCGCCATTGCAAACGGTTTCGAGCCATTTCATTCAAGGTCTCTAACCATCGAATACAATCATCTCGCGGACCCCAACCAGGTAGGTAGTCGACATTCATCCACATGACTCAGTCCACTTGTCAATGACTTCATTCATTTCTGCCCTGTTTTGGTCTGGCCGCCCCTAACTTTCGTCCAACCTATTCGGTGGATGCTATTGTGTTCCACAGCTTCATCCTATGCTTATGGTTTACCTTACTGCTGTTTCCACAGCCTTTTTGTTATCATTTCCAAGCTGCCTCCGGATGGGAATCACTCACATGGTTGCCTAACTCTCTTTCTAGTTGTTCCTGAAATATTTTCTTTACCTCATTATCATTAAGTAAAACCCTAAGAGGCTTTCTTACGGTGTCTTTCCTACGCCCAGTAAGCTTCAAACAAATACGCGCTCGCACTAGGGCATGATCTGAATCTAGACATGTGCCCCAGAACGAGCGACAGTCTTCTATCGAACCCCTCCATCGGTGGCTGATGGCGATGTGATCTAGTTGCGTCCAACGTTGAGACGACTTTGGAGGTCGCCAGGTCAAGAGATGCTTTTCCTTATGCCTAAAGTTAGTGTTTGCTAAGAATAGGCGGTTATCTGAGCATACTTGCAACAGACGGTCACCCTTGTCTGTTCTCTGAGCCGCGACACCATAACATCCACCTAGGTGTCTTTCATTTTCACTTAGTCTACCTACTTGAGCATTAAAGTCACCAGCCATTAATACTATGTCAGAGCGCCTAGCTTTTTGGAGGAGGTCCGAAAGCTTTCTGTAAAACTCATCTTTAACCTCGTCTGAACTGCAGTCAGTGGGGGCATAGGCAGATACGATGAAGAGGCAACGACGAGTGTCCCTATCTTTCCGAGTCCTTACTGTCCCGTTTAGTCGGACAGCGCATAAGCGACTATCTACTGGCATCCAATCAAGGAGAGATTGTTCAGCTATACAACTCATTGCTATGCCTACGCCAGCAAGACCCCTGGAGGCAGCATCAGGGCTACCGGATACACGAAGAGTAAATCGAGGTGCTTCTTTATTTTGACAAGGAGAAATCAGATTAATAATTTTACTAGGATCCTGTATGCGCGTTTCCGAGACGCAGCACACATCGATGACACGAGATTTCAAAGTCCTAGCTAATGATGCCTGTTGCCCTATTTGACACAATGTCCGTACATTAAATGCTCCAAGATGTAGTATAGAACGGGGTTTCAGGAGATCAGGAATAACGTTTCGTGAGCTCGCATCGTTTGCATTAGCTGTGCACTGTGATAAAGGAATGTGAGAAGAGTTAGTCGTGGAGATAAGAGAGGTGTGGGTTGGTGTAGCAAGGATTTGATTTTGACCAATTTGGTCTCGCGTGCTGTTACAGGTATGAGGGCGGTTGTCACTTCCCGGCTGCCCACACCGTGGAAGGTTGTTTCTAGAGGAACCTGAAAAGGAAGGTATATTAACGTTGGTCTTAGAGACCTGGGTGCGTGACCGCAGAGTCCAAGGGACAACTGCTTGAGGTCGGTCACGGACGGCCTTTTTATGAGAAGTTTTATGAGTGTTAGCTCCGTTCTTAAAGGCCCTTAGTGGGCACCCTTACCCAAGGAGACGGAAATCCGTGAGTTAGGGGAGGTGTGACATTTTTAGGGTCGACCTTTTCTAACCCTTCCTTCCTTGTGAGAAGGCAGCATCGCTGCAGATGCTGGTTGTCCGAGGGAAACACCTTACTGCTGTCACACCCCTCTGCAGTCAGCAGTACGACTTCGCCCTCAGACCTTGAGTAGCTGCTTTTAGTCTCATCGTTCTCCAATCGACCTGCCTGGAATGGTAGGACCGACAGGAACATATGTTCTAACCAATACATCTCGGTTGGGTCATCACGTTAGGCAAGCACGACCACCTTGACAGGGTAGCAGCTACGATTTGATACTTAGGTTTTTGCATTATTCTAAGGCCTTCCGAAGAAATCTATAATCGAATACCAGTAACCTACGGACATATTCCACTCTGACTGGCCATGTTTGGTATCTATAATGTAGTGCTTGTCTGTTATTTAATGTCTCCTTTACTCACATCCACTATTTTATTCGTCTATAATTGTTTTGTTTATTTACGGTATGATGTCGGCAGTTATGTTTGTAAGTAAACCACTTTTTCTCGAAAAATATGATTTGCATGTGGAAGCTAGTATGAATATCTGTACCTCATTTTTGACCGATTGTAGGTGTGCTGCTAACTGTAACTTATTAGCGCGGACTGGTTGTTCTGTCACGTGATATTATTAAACCTTTAAGGACACAGTAAACTTAAAATATAGAACTACCAAAATGATAGAAATGAGAAACGAAGAAACAACTTCATAAAAAGATTAAACGAAATCAACAAAAGTTTTTATTTAATATTTGATTCAAGGGTCTCTTGACTCAATTAAAATGTTTATCATCGTAAACTGATAGACTGCTTTATTACTTCAGGTCTTATGGCTTGCTCGTATGAATACCTCAAGGCATTTACATCAGCTAGCAACCTAAACCTTACGGGAATAAAGTGCATTAAATACGTACTCACTGGAGGTAAAATATTTATTTCACTCCTGAAATATTGTCCTAGCGGCTGCTGCAATAAGCCATTCGTCTATTTCCTTTATATCAGCAAAAGCTACAGGCCAATCAGAAAGCTCTTTAAATCATGCACTAGGCGGAGCTGTTAGTGGCCTAATCTGTACGTGGAAATGTAAGTCCTGTGACTTTTGATAAGAGTTTTTTTTTACGTTGTTAATTTATCCAGAGAAAAAAAATGAAAGGCTGAAAAATAGATCAAAAATTTTCAACCTATAAAAAATTTGGTGATATAGATAAAGGTTTATTGTATCTAGTAGTGGTCCGTAAGTGAGACGCATCCTTTCAACTGCTAACTATGAAACTAAGGAAGTTTACCGGTAGAACATTCTTGCCTCTACATTATATTTTTTCGCCATCATTTCTACTCTGTGAATGTAAGTAAGGTATAATTCGAAGTTCAGCTACTTATGTTTGTTAATCACTCAATCAACAGAAGTGTAGAACTTCGTACGTACGTACGAGAAAGATAAATGTAATGAGGAATTCATAAGATAAGGATTTGAGAAAGCACAAAGAACGAATGCACCTGCGCCATTGCAAACGGTTTCGAGCCATTTCATTCAAGGTCTCTAACCATCGAATACCATCATCTCATGGACCCCAACCAGGTAGGTAGCCGACATCTACCGACATGACTCAGTCCACTTGTCAATGACTGCATTCATTTCTGCCCTGTTTTGGTCTGGCTGCCCCTGACTTTCGTCCAACCTATTCGTACATCACATAACATAGCTCGACGAGGCAGTCGGTGGTTAGGAATATGTAACAGATATCCCAATCACATCGACTGATGAAGTTCCAATACTTCATCTATTGATCTGCCATCCTTACCTAGTACTCGTTTCCTAATAACGGCATTGCTTACTCGGTTGTCCCAGGATACAGGAGCAATGCTCCGAAGAAATCTATAATCGAATACCAGTAACGTACGAATATCTTCCGCTCTGACCGGCTATGTTTCGCATCCATATAGTAGAACGAAACAAACTGCTGCGCAGTACACTCGTCCTTTAGTCAGCAAACGGATATCTCGTCTACGCCATAAGTGACGCAGGTTGACAAAAGCCAATCGAGCCTTCTGTATCCGTGCTGAGATTTTGTCAGTCACCAGGCCATCGGCACTGATGAGACTCCCAAGAAAAGTGAAGCGGTCTACACGTTCGACTACTTCACTCCCTATCACTAGTTCGGGTGCCGATACAAGCGAATCTTGAAGCAACATTTTGCATTTCCGCGAATGGAATCGCATCCCGATCATGTTCGCGTTGTTATTGAGTGTAGTCAGAAGACACTGCATTTTGTCAGCGTCTTCACCAAGTACAACCATGTCATCAGCATACTCTAAGTCAACAAGCGAGTCTTCTGGTAGAAGGTCCACTCCTGAAAATCCAGACGAAGATAAGTTTGTATCTAGGAGCATGTCTACGACAAAATTAAACAAGAATGGAGAAAGTGGACATGCCTGACGGACACCACTTGAAGTAAAGAATTGCGATGACAGTTCACCATAAAGTCTCGCTCGACGAGTAGTGCTCGAGTAGAGAGCTTGTATAAGGTTAATGTACTTTTTTGGTACACCTTTCAATGACAGACACTGCCACAGAACCTCACGATCCACTAAGTCAAGTGCCGCGTTCAGATCCTAGTAGACAACTATTGTAGGACGCCTAAATGTGGTTCTGTGTTCCAGGACCTGTCGTAGTGTGAAAATGTGGTCTATGCAGCCATGTCCAGGTCTGAAACCAGCTTGGTTTTCTCGAGTTTGCTCTTCACGAGCTCTGGTTAGGCGGACTTTTGTCCTTTCTTATGGATTGGGACAATCAATGATTGAGATCAGTCGGATGGGATTACGTGCAGGTCCGAAATTCTATCTAAGATCTCAGTCAATTTGTTAGGATGTTAATCAAATATTCTAAAGAAATTATTAAGTCTGATTCTATTTGTCTGTTAATATCGGTCGTGCTAAACTATCATGTTCCTTTTCATCCAGTCTACCGCCTACTTGAGCATTGAAGTCATCAGCCACTATTACTTTATCAAGGCGCCCACCGTTTCGAATGAGATCCGAAAGCTTTCTGTAAAACTAATCTTCTACCTCATCTGAACTGCAGTCAGTGGTAACGTAGGCAGATACGACGAAGAGGCGACACAGAGTGTCCATATCTTTCCGAGTCCGTACTGTCTCGTTTAGTCGGACAGCGCATAAGCGACTGTCTATCGAGATCCAGTCTAAGAGAGCTAGTTCTGCCTGACGACTTAATACTATACCTACGCCGGCGAGGCCACGGGAAGCAACATCAGTGCTACCTGAGAGATGAAGCGTAAACCGCGTTGTTTCTCTATCTGCACTAGGTGAAATCAAATTGATGATTTTACTCAGATATTGTATGCGCGTTTCGGAGACGCAACATACATCGATCGCACGGGATTCCAGAGTTCTAGCTAATGAAGCCTGTTGCCATATTTGTCAGAGGGTTTGAACATGAAAATCTCTAATATTTAATTTATTACGAGGTTCAGGAAACTTGGAATAATGTTTCGTGAGCACAAACCGTTTTCTTCAGTGGCGCGAGTTGATAAACGATCGACAGAATGATTGGTCGAGGAGATAAGGGAGTTATCTGGAGGTGTAGAAGGGATTTAATTGTGACCGATTTGGTCTCGTGTGCTTTTATGGGTATGAGGGCGGACGTCATTTATCGGCTGCCCACACGATGTAAGGGTTCCGGTTGTTAAAAGGGGCATCAGTTTTGTGCCTTCCGAAGGAATTCGGCTTCCATCATGAGACGTCATAACTCTTCTAAATGAAGACCTAACTCCTAGAGTAGAGTTTATATGGTTTGAATTATTTTTTCTTATTAGCGTTTTTTAGCGATTTGGTTTTTTGTAGGGTAGGTTCGTCAACCCCAATCTCAACACTTCTTTTTCCGGGTTTGGGACCGGCAATAACCCTGAAGGGTCTATATGCGGAGTTACTTATGTATTTATGCAAAAATTTATTTGACCCTTCGTAATTAAGCACATAATCTAAACGGTCTGAGAAAATATATGGTCTGTTTATTGAATACTGTCCATCTTTCAGAAGTTCTGGATTGTCCAAACTGTCTAAGTAATCTAATAGCCAATACATCTTAACGAAAAACAAACTTAGCCACCAAGTGGAGATAGTAACCGCTATGCAGTTCGTTTTACACTTGTTAACTTTAGGAAAGATCTTTTGATATTGCAAGTTGTAGTTACCCTTAATTACGCAAGTCAACATAATCTTAGATAAAGTTAGGAATCCAGCATCAAACACAGATAATTTGCATTCAAAAAAAGGAGTAGATAAAAAGCACAAACATGCAACTCTTGACTTTCTTCATCTAAGTGAATCACTACAAAACGATATTGTAGTATTATTTACTGCTTGGTAGATGCTCAACAATTTAATGGCATACTAATGTTTCCGTCGTTATTCTATCATAAAGGCCTCTGCTGCAACAACTTCATGCCAACTAGTTTTTGTCGTTTATGAAGACGTAAATTTTAGTTGGGTGGTCGAAAGTAGTTGACTAAATGTACCTAGTCATTTATCGTTTTTTCTCCTACTACTTATTTTTGAAAGCAAATAAAAATAAACTAAGAAAATTTTAGTTTACCTTGTACAATTTTTGTAAATTCGAATATAATGAGGCTAGATGTTTTTGTTTTGACTGCAAACATTTCTTTTCAGAAGTGGATGGTTCCATGACATGAGGATGTTTCATAGAAAAGTGGAGCGTTACATCTTTTTTCAAATTAGGTGTTCATAAATATGTTTTTCAGTTGACTTTGCTTGTGAGTAATGAAGGATATTCATTAGAAAGAAGTGGCCTATTCTGAATACGTAAATCTCTTTGTCAGAGAGTCTGCATGAGAAACGTTATAAAACGATTTGAATTATTAGATCAGGTGCAATTATTTTTTACTTGAATATTATCTTTCGGACAACTGCAGACATTAACTATGTCTTTCTTTAAATCTATGTCTTTTCGACTGAAATGCATAAGCCTATATTCGTACATAATAATATACGGTCTCTGAAAATGTGCTCTTCAAAAATATTTCTGTTAAAAATTCCACTGCAGCAATGATAAACACAGTTAAAGTAATTGTTTACTCTTGTTTCCTTACAATGAGTTGTTTTTTCAAATTTTATCCAAATACTTCGAGATTAACTGAAGAACCATATTGTCATAATTTTTCTCACAATTCCTTTTATAGCTCCCATAACCGTACGTGTTTTTGTGTGCGCTGGATTTGCAATAGTATCAGCTTTGGGTAAATATGAAGCTCAGCTGAAAGAAAAATATCCTGAATGGCATGTCCCAAAAGTGGGTGAGAGGTATCCAGCACCATATGCTTCTCTTAATCACCGATGGATGAATAAAAATGCAAGACAAGAAGAAGAGATGCTGGAAATGCATCTATAATAATCTAGCGCTTTTTAAATTTGTAACCATATGCTTACTTTCGATTAATATAAATTAGTCAATAAATACTAAAGACTGTTTTATTTCTTCTGAATTTTGTGTGTGGTCATACAAGTGTTATCGATTCTACATATTACTATTTTATTTCGCAATTGTTTTTTTTTAGTTTGTTATTTGTGTACTGGCAATCCAAAAGCAGAATAATATTTTATGACACAAAACCGCCCATATTTAAATTATGATGTACATCCAGGAAGATATACTTGCATTTCGACATTCTGTCGAACTCCTCTCCTAGGAGAAGAATATCTTGATGTGATAGTTGATGATGTTCTAGTGGTTGAACGTCGACCACCAAACGGTTAGTGAACTGTATCTTCCTTGTATTTTGGTCTATCAGTCTTAATCAGTTATTATTATCATCATCATCATTATCTTAATCAATATTGAAAGAGAAACGGACTGTATTTGGTATATTTCAAGCTAAAGTTACCTTGTGTTCTTACTTTTAAATAGTATTTAATTGAGTGGTAAAAGGAGAAATATTGTAGTTTTAGATACTTTAAAGGATGTCTTGAGAAACCTTTGTGACAGCATTCGTTCCAATAGTTGGTTAGTTGGTTTGTCCAAAGTTTGTTATGTAGAACGTTTAGTATTTGGCTAAAAATATTTAGTTATATGTATATGTTTATACATATCGTGCTTATTTAAAACGTACTGCTCAATTTTATATTTATATATACATATGTCTTTACCATTGTCTTTGTACGTATCATTTCTTTTTTAAGCTACAGCACCAGGATCCTTTTTATATGGACTTAATGAAAGAACAAAACAGAAGGGATATTTTCCGGCATGTTGTGTAGATATACGCAAATTCGAATCGTTTCATCTGAGAAGTAAAAGCACTGACCGAATTACTCCTGCTCACTCTTCACCGAATTCACAGCTCCTTAAAGCTACAAATGTTGGTTCACAGAACCTACAACCAACCTTACAACCAGCTAAACCTGCAAGATATAAACGTTTACTTGATATATCCTCCTCATGTTCGTTACCCGGTTTACCACTTGATTCATCTTCTTCTCGATCATGTACAAATTTGTCTATTTCTTCTCAAGATATTTTACCTCATGAAATTCGAAAGTGTAATGTATCTGTATCAAGTAAGTTAAATTGTAAAATTTCATCTTTCAATCAGTTCTTATTATATAATCTTATGCACATGTTCTATGATAAATTGTGCGTAATCGCATAACTACAATTTATTACTCAGTCAACAAATTGGCATTGGTATTGTTGATTTAAGGTTTTGGAAAATACTGAATTTTTGTTGATTAGTAGTGTGAGGCCTTATATTCTATCAACTTGTTTCATTCTGATTTCGAATTATCTGAACAGTTTTAATTTCATTTGGCTTGTTCGCTATCAGAGTGATGTATAGTGTTGAAATGATTTCTTAATAACTAACTTTTTTGGATGAACGTCTTTACTTCGGTATTGTATTGCAAACAACTATTGATGGCTCTTTAATACTCTATCTTGTTTGAGACGTGGATTGACCATATAATGACGAGTTATTATTGTAATGTTACATAAACTGCTCATCTAGTTAGATGTTTGTTATGTTATACTGTCGTTTGAGTCTGATATTAATACAAAAACTTCTGACACTAGGATCCAATCAGATACTTGAGTGGAAAAACGAAGAGTAAATAGGTGTATGCATAACTCATTTATAAGTATACTTGTCTTCCTTAGAAAACAGCCGCATTTTCAGTAGCGTATATCCGTTCCTTCCAAAGACTTGGTTAAATCTTGATAAATGGCGTAAATCCATCATCTATCTCACTATTTGGCATCGCACTGATATCTCTGACTGACCAACGGTATCAAAGTTAGATCATTTTGATTTACTGTTCGAACCCACTTGCACTGTGAATAAAAACTTACAAATTTGTGAATAACATTTTTGATGTTTAGTATAATCTATTAAATAGAATTGTATCAAAACCTCACCAATGAATCCCCTCGACGGTTCAGATCAGGTAATTCAGTCACGCGTAAAATCCCTATCCAAAACGAAGCAGTTTTCTGTAAAACTTTACTGTTAATGGTGACAACATAAAAAATGTATTGCAGAAATCTCGGTCTTAAGGTATTCAATACGTTTATAGGCGTCAAGATACCATAAAATAAGAGGTTCTCACTACAGTAATTACGTAAGAATCATTTGCAGAAGTTGACGATAATTTAAGTGACAGCAAGTATCTATGTTTGGCTCAACGACAGCTGTCACCAAACAGAAACGAGAACTATACACGTAATCTATGTAACTTAGTATAAATAAGGAATTACTCAATAAACGAGAAGGAAACGAGAAAGAACTGCTGAGAATGTTAAGGTAATCTAACTATAATGATAAATGGATTGTGTTATCAACTCACGCAAATGTCTCACAACGAAGGTACGTTAAAGAGCATATGCTCAAAAATGATAGATAATTACATTAGTTCCTGAATATCAGTAAGTAGTATAGCATAATACCCACAAAAATTGACAAAAGATAAGAGATGGAAGCCGAATTAGTACTCAAACCCGGTGAATCAGTGCTTTTGTTGTTTATGGAAACATTTTCTTCTAAATTAAGAACTTAAAGGCATAAATGGGTAGAATGTTGGTATTTTTAACATTAACATTCTTTCTTTCGCATTTATAACATTATTTTTTTTAAAAAATATTTTCTTATTATTTCCAGCATTATCATACGGATATCATCGATTCGTCAGTGTTTCTGTCAGTTATCCACAAATGTGTAGTTTATGTAACGATTATATAGTGACGCCGCGATGTAACGCTAGTAGGTGTTTTACTTGCAAGTCTCTATTTCATCTTGTTTGCGCTGAATACTCAAAAAGATTTGGTGTATCTCCTTGTCAGTGTCCAGTAAATGATGATTCGACTGTTAAGTCAGAGAAATTGACTAATTCGTCCACATGTAGTGCCTTCTCATTATTGTCGTCCTCTATTTCGACCACTGAGCAGGTATTTTTATTTCGTGATATTTCATTTATCTTCAATGCTTCAGTTTTCGATAAGATTTTACATTCGTAAACCTATTAGTCTGCATGTGTCAATCCTGAAGACAATATATACCATTAAAGTCGGCAGTAGTGGTAGTATCCGTAGAAATGCGATGTCATTCTTTTTTTCCCGAAATTATTCTAACATGGTATTATTAAAATTATGTCCATTTTCAGTTAAAATGGAACACGAAAACAGTTTTGGAAATCTTATAATTGGGTACCAGTTTTTTTCTGAAGAGATTGTTTATACTCAGAGCGAAGAATAAAACTGGAAAGCCGATCAGCCGGACTATATACATTTGAAGATAAAATGTGGAACTAGTGGAATAGGTTATTTTCACTGTTATACTCGTTTGAACAGATCAATTTTCTACAGGGGTCAAATGCAATTAGAGAATTTGTATGAGTTGTTATTCCTTTTATGCAACTATGCTTATTTACTTCGCACAGACTTTCTTGATTATAGAATATAAATGCTTGAGAATCTCATGCTTGTAGTATCGTGAAGACATTCCTTTTCAAGTTAATCTAGCGCTCAATTTTTGTTTCTGTGAATGATTCATAACTGTTACTCGGAAAAAGGCGGATTTTCGTAGTTGTTTATAGTTGATTCTGAGGTTTCTCTTACATGTAATTTGAGAATTTTTTATAGTATGCCTTTTTCAAGTTTTTGATAGCATTGCAAAATAGGTAAAAATTGTCGCTGAAAACTGAAATTACACTTGTCCTTTACTCTAAGCCTTGATGCTTATATGTGCGTTTTTTGTCGAAACAGAACAATTACTGATGAAATCATCTAACTGTAAGGTAAAATTTTTATAACCTAATATCAAGACTTAAGAGAATACTAGACAATTTCATGGTGGAGTTATTCTTTTTGATGAGGTATTTCAAGTATTGAATAAAAGTACTTCAGCATAAACAAATGAGATAATTTTCGTGGTTTTTTTGCATTGGAACTTTGAGGTCTAGGACAGAACTGGCTCTCCTATAGTGAATACGGGTGTGCGGTCGCTTGTGTGCTGTCCGGCGTGGCCTCGCCGGCGTAGGTATAGTATTAAGTCGTCAGGCAGAACTAGCTCTCTTAGACTGGATCTCGATAGACAGTCGCTTATGCGCTGTCCGGCTAAACGAGACAGTACGGACTCGGAAAGATATGGACACTCTGTGTCGCCTCTTCGTCGTATCTGCCTACGTTACCACTGACTGCAGTTCAGATGAGGTAGAAGATTAGTTTTATAGAAAGCTTTCGGATCTCATTCGAAACGGTGGGCGCTCTGATAAAGTAATAGTGGCTGATGACTTCAATGCTCAGGTAGGTAGACTAAGTGAGCAGGAAAGACACCTGCGTGGCTGTTATGGTGTTGCGGCTCCGAGAACAGACAATGGTGACCGTCTGTTACAAGTATGCTCAGATAACCGCCTATTCCTAGCAAACACTAACGGGAAGCATGAGGAGAAGCATCTTTTGATCTAGCGACCCCCAAAGCCGACCCAACGATAGACACAACTAAATCACACCGCTTTAAGCCATCGGTGGAGAGGCTCTGTTGAAGATTACCGCTCAGTCCGGAGCATTTGTTTGGACTCAGACCGTGCACTAGTGCGAGCGCGTATTTGTTTGCGACTTATTGGACGTAAGAAAAACATCGCGAGGAGACCTCTTAGGGCTCTACTCACTAATAGTAAATCTAGGAATGTATTCCAGGAACAACTAACTAGAGTTCTGGTAAAGCAGACTAGAGAAAATCAGGCTGATTTTCGACCTGGACGTGGACGCACGGACCGGATATTCAAACTGTGACAGGTCCTAGAACACTCGTTGTGGCATTGTCTGTTTTTAAAAGGTGTACCAGAGTAGTACATTAGCCCTACGCAGGCTCTCTACTTGAACACCATTGTTCGAGTCAGAGCTTATGGCGAACTGTAATCGGAATTGATTAGTTTAATTTGTGTCTGACTGGGATGTTCACTTTCTCATTTCTTGTTTAATTTGCCATAGACATGCTTTTAGAGGTAACGTTATCTTCGTCTGACTTTTGAATCGTGGACCTTCTACCAGGAGACTCGCTTGAATAATTTCATCTTTACACAAATCAGTCATTACGTCATAATATCCACCAGTATTGTGTTTTTAAAAAACTGTGGTTTGAATATTAACAACTAAAAGTCTATGAATATTACTCTATGATATTTCGTGTTTTACAAAGTTTTCCTATTGGATCAATCAAACATTTTTATATTATACGATAAAAATTCATCACTTTTCCATTGGATTACCATGAGTTAATTGTATGTAACCGGATAGAATAATTATATTGACATTGTTTAAACGATGAATACAGTGGAAGAGTAAAATTTTAATGTATTAAATTCACATTTTGCAAATCAATTATTAGTTAATCTATCATATGGAAAAATTTAAATAAAATAAAATTTTGTTTTGATTACTAGGCAAAGAAATAATTACTTATGTGTGTGAGTGAGAAATGTTCAATAAATTTAGGAATGACCACCTGATCACTTGAAAGGTTTTTCATTTGGAAATAAATTTAAAAGCCCAGTCTTAATAGACAAAAATAATATTGACAATAAAATGATATTGGTAGTAATAATACTGGAAATGTATGAGGGGGTGGGCGGATAACTCTTTAAGACAATAATAGCTCGTATGTCTTTCAAATTCCTATTTTATGTATTTTTAGCCACTGGTTTCTTGGAATTGTACGCAAGTGGCCCATTGGTTAGCTGTTGTTGGTCTCGGTCGATTTGTTCGACTATTCATCAAATTTAATTTAGATGGCAATTTTCTTTCAGAAGTCACTAATGATTCACCTCATTTGCGTAGAGTAGCTGATCCATTTGCTCGTGAAGCATTAGAAAGAGCAATACTGGTGAGTTTCGCGCCGTTTGCTTATATGTGTGTGTTCATATTAAATTGATCGTCATCCAGCTTTGCAACCATCGACTAAACAGATTTCAATAAATCTAATTATTTTAATGAAATCGATATAATTAGTGTTATTACTCTTTCGTAAATATACTAATTAAGTGGGCTTACTACTATTGAGTCATCATCTTGATATAACTTCACAGACAATTTACGTATGATATTTAAATTTTCACCTGAAACTTTATCATGCATACAGTATTTGACTTTATTTCGTTAAATAACTGATTTAAAATCGGCATTCATGTTGTACGCCAGAATCCAGCTTATAAAACTATACTTGGTCGGTGTAGTATTATACGATGGAAAGTGAAATATTTGACAAAAATAAAACATTTTTTTTCAAGGTTTCAGATAAGCCATGAATTTTTTTTTATCGATATCAAACTTATCGACAGATTTTTATTCTATTATTTATGTTGATAATTCTTTTGAAATTTAAACCTTTCTTTTATTTGTCTTACAGCTTGTGCAATTAGTTTTTAATTTTGTATTGGTTTGCTTGCTTTAGTACTTTATTGTGCTAATTTGACCAATGTGAGAAAAATCGCTGCATAGTTCTGTTGTTTGGTTTGTCATATTTATCGATATAAAAGAGACAAAGTTACCAAAACTATCATGTAACGATGTCGTACTATGTACGCAGATTGAGTTAAGATATCGTAGAACTATGAGACGAGAGCAGTATTCAAGCGTTTGCTTTAGAATTCTAGCACTTCGAAAGGTGCTCCTTTTTCTTATCAGTACGAAGTAGTGAGTGGACAATCGGCTATAAAAAAATTTATATATTACCTTACTCGTGACATTTTGTTGCAGATGAGAGTGTTGATTTTGAAAATGGTCGAAGCTTTGCGGTTAGAAATCACCACTAATCTGTTTCTTCTTTCATACGTATCGTGGTGTGAATTTTAACATTAACAGCATCCAGAATTTTAAATTTTGTTTCCCTGTTCGCTTATGGTTGACACAGTCCTATCATACATGATGCATATCATAATTGCCTAACAATGTCTAACACAGTGATTGTGTAGTTTCTTCGAAATACGTATCAAAGTTCCATTGTAAACTATATTTTACTTATTATCTAAGTATATCTGTTGATGAGTTCCAGTTAATATTTAACTAACTACATGATTATTATATGGATAATTTAAGGAAAACGTTTAGTCTCCTCAGCTCTAATGATGTGAACATAAACAGAATCCAGTAATCACATTTTATGCTTCATGTAATCGAACGACAATACGTTTTTATCTATCTACCTTCTAACACTTTGTTTATTACATTGAATTTAAATCAGGTGAAACTGAGGTGCTTTCTGATTTGTATTCCTAACTTACTGAATTTTCTGTTTGATTAATATTCAGTCATTGAACATTGACAATAATTATCATAGTCCATTTAGCAAATTTCATACTTGTTGGTAGTTGCGTTTTCTGAGGGGCTATCAATTGTTTTTGTTATATTATATCTCTTGTCTTCATTGGTCTCGTATAATCCTTGTTTAAATATTGTTCATTTTTCCTTTTTTTTATATAAAAGACTCTACAAGGTAAAAAACCCACTCCTGGAGAAAATATTAGCATATTCGCGAAGTTGGACATCAATGAAAAATGTCCAGGAAAAAGTAGCAGTTCTCGAGAGCACGATTTCAAGCTCACTACTTTTTACCAAATGGTCTCTTGTATAGTGTGCAATATTCCTTTATTAGGTAATTCATTATTGTTGCTGCATTAGTTTGTGTTTAAATAATCATATAATTAATTATTTTGTTGAGGCGATATGAAACGGGGCACATTTTACTTTATATAGGGCGATAGAAAAACAATATGTGAATTCATAAACGTCTATGATAGAATTGTTTACATCTAAAGATTATCAACTCTACCTGGAAGCCTTTCTGGAGTTACTGTCGGTCCTAAGCCCGGATAAAGGAGGGTTGGGCGTGAGGTTAACGATCCCATCCTGCAGAAAACTAACTCGCTAAAAAATCGCTAACCGGAAAAATCAATATAAACCATTTAAATTCTGCCGTGGGATTTAGAAGGTCTTCATTCAGAAGAGTAATGGCATCTCATAATGAAGGCCGAATTCCTTCGGAAGTCACGGGGTCAACGCCTCTTCTGAAAACCTGAGCAATCATTCTTTTAGGCACATGGAATGTTCGTACAAAGTGGGAGACCAGGAGAGTCGTCTAAGTTGCTGCAGAAATGAAAAGATACAATCTGGAGGTTCTTGAAATCAGTGAGACTCTTTGGACGCAGGTTGGACAACTAAGATTAGCTTCAGAAGAGTTGCTGTTATCCTCCGGTCATGAAGAAGAAAATGCCTCACACATACAAGGAGCTGCACTGATGCTGTCCAAAAAAGCACAAGAAGCATTGATATGAAGGGAATCTCATGAACCCATCATCATCATAGTATCCTTCAAAACAAAGAAAGAGGGGATTACATTCAACGTCATCCACATGCCCTTTCTAATAATTTATTCAACCAAGTCATTTGTATTGCAACAGTTTATATGTACCATTCGTTCTTATTATTGTCTGGTTTGTATGAGCTCACATAACGTGTCCCACTTGTCATTTGACCTTGTCAACTATTCGTCGCTTTTATTCATGTGTGCCTATTTCGCTAGTCGCATGTCTGTCTTATATTTGTCTGACTATATATTCTTAGTCACGCTCTATCTCTTTAAGTTGGCTCATTAGCCTTCTCCAACGCGCTTCGCCCCTTCATTCGCTTCCGTCTCCCATTCGTTCGCATTGTAATCCTGGGAGTTGGCTCAACAGCCTTCTCCAATTCACGTCGCTTCTTTCGTTTAATTCATTGCTTCTCTGCTTCGCTTTGTGGTGTGTCTCAAATAAACGCATTCATCACTACGAGTTTACCTTCTGATATATAACCGTCAGACGGTATTTAGTAACAATTGTCTGGACGAGCTAATTACCAAGCATAAGAACACGCAGTAAATTGAAACACTACAAACTGACCTTCTTGTAATAAATTCGACATTTGCTGATGATTCTATTCAGCTGGTGCTACCAAAGGTTATAATACAATACAACTTACTCTTACGTTCGTAATTTGAGGCATACAGGAAGCAGATGTATTTAAGGAATGCTGAATACAAATACATATATATATATATATATATATATATATATATATATATATTACTTGATTGTACTGAAATTATTACTGGCGTTTTACTTTTCCATTAAAATTATCACCTGGTTCGTGTTCATTTTCAAAGGTTTTAATCATCAGGGATTTCAGTGTAAAAAGTGTGGCGCTATTTGTCATCGCATCTGTAAAGCTTTAGAATATTTTTCAAATTGTCCTGAAGTGTTTCATGCAACTGAAGTATCCAATCTGGATAATCGTGTCACTGGTTGTGAAACGAATGAATTCCCCTCTTCATTGTTTCCTTATGTCAGTGAATACTTTGGTGTTAGGTTGGAAGAACAAGTAAAGTTATTGTTTTAAGTACTTTTATCATGTATATATATATATTTTTTGAGTGCTGGGTAATATTACCTTCGTTTGTTGTGTTTATGTTTTCGTGACTGTATTATTTCGAAAGTTAAGCATATGTAGGTGTACGCACTGTGTTCTGCATGAGATTATGTCTTCTCACTGTTGAAATGAATACTAAAACTGTAAAATGATAAATTCTGCCCATCGTTTATATAGTTTTCTGTTGCGTGTAGAACAGTCGACTCATTGTTATCCTTCTTTGTAAATAGATGTTAAACACCGTTTAGGTATTTTTCTGAGAGCAATAATGTGTATTCACCATTCACTTTGAAGGTTTTTTATTTATGGTTGATTTGCTTTCTATTAGTTCAAACGAACCAACGTTCCTGTATTGAGATCTTTCTGATGGGCTTCGTAAGTATGCTGAACATCTAATAAAAATACCTATTGAAAGCTAAAGAAATCATACATATCTAATTATACCATGATAGATCTACTATGCAAAAGATTAATTTACATTAGTTTTCAGGGCAACTAGATACGATGTAGGCTTTTATGTAACTTGAACAGAAATTAAGATGTTATTACATATTGATAGTTGCATTTAATGTATTGGTAGTTAGTTTAGATTATTGAATTTTTTTAATCAAATGAAGTCATTTATATATATTATATGTTCAATTTACCTATAATTATTAATTTACCTTTGAAATATTGTTTTGTTGATTTTAATTTTAAAGAAATTGGATTCTAATCTAAAAGTCCCTGTATTCTTAACTACATGTACTGATCAAATAGAAAAACTAGCTACTGAAAGTTTTATAACTGCCAGTAATAATCCGTGTATTCAACCTACTGATATGGCTATGGTTTATCAACAATCAGCTTCAACGTATACTCTACAAGAACTTCATGATACATTTGCTCATTGTTTACCGTTACCTGATATAGAACAGTCATCTATTCATCCGTTAGACATTGTGCGTTTCGCTCAATTAATGAAAGCTTTTCTTCGTGATCTACCGGTAGGTGTGATACCGGAAGAATACTACTTGGATTTCTGTAATTTGGCAAATATAAGAGGTATAAGTAAGTTATCATACAAGCCGTTAATTAACACAATTGTGTAATTTCATTTTTTGCATTCTTCGAATGTAAATGTTTAGATATTTATTTTGTTCAGTTTATTTAACCTAGAGTGATTTTCATGTATAATTATTTCTTTTCATTTATCTGTTACCAGATGAGAAAGAAAAAGCCGTTCATACATTTCTTGAAAGTCTTCCTGAACTTCATCGGCGATGTTTGATTCATATTTTCAACCATTTAGGCTTCGTACTGAACCATCAAAATAAGTTAAGGTCTTATTTGTCGGACTCATTGTCTATCAATATGAGCCGATCGAGTTCGTTCTCTGAGTCCAGTATAAATGTATTGAATAAAGCTACTCCTTGGTTGATGGTTTTTAGACAGATACTTGTTCGACCACCATGGCACCTTATCACTGACATAGCTATGGCTATGGATACACATATGCGCGCTTTAGAGGTTCTCTTTTCAAAGTTTGCTAATCTTGACAACGGAGAATCAGAATATCTACCTGGAATCGAAAATCCCGAAGCACATTCTAATGTAAAAGATGAAAATTTTCAGAGAAATATTTGTAAGTTATCGTGTTCTCGATTAAGTGGTTTCTTTGTTATTTTGTTTTTATTATGGTTGTTCATAAATTCATCATTTAGTCTGTATATAGTTGGGAATATTTGACAATGGTCACATATAATATAGTCTAACAGGTTATACACGTTATTTTAACATTCAGATAACTGTCGAGAAATTATCAATCAGTCAATCAATAGCAACGTGGAACTTCGTACGTACGTACGTTCAAGTTGTCATACCAGATTAGCATAGAGATCTAATTGTCAACTAAAATCCCATAGTAGTAGAGGTAGTAAAGGTATTAGCAGTAATCGGAGAGATTAGGGTTCTAAGATATTATTCCAGAAGAATCTAGTGAAATAAACTTAAACGAAAAAGATGAATGTAATGAGGAATTCATAAGATTAGGATTTGAGAAAGCACAAAGAACGAATGCACCTGCGCCATTGTAAACGGTTTCGAGCCATTTCATTCAAGGTCTCTAACCATCGAATACCATCATCTCGCGGACCCCAACCTGGTAGGTAGCCGACATCTACCGACATGACTCAGTCCACTTGTCAATGGCTTCATTCATTTCTGCCATGTTTTGGTCTGGCCGCCCCTAACTTTCGTCCAACCTATTCGTACATCACAAAACATAGCTCGACGAGGCAGTCGGTGGTTAGGTATATGTAACACATATCCCAACCACATCGACTGATGAAGTTCCAATACTTCATCTATTGATCTGCCATCCTTACCTAGTACTCGTTTCCTAATAACGGCATTGCTTACTCGGTTGTCCCAGGATACAGGAGCAATGCTCCGAAGAAATCTATAATCGAATACCAGTAACGTACGAATATCTTCCACTCTGACCGGCTATGTTTCGCATCTATATAGTAGAACGAAACAAACTGCTGCGCAGTACACTCGTCCTTTAGTCAGCAAACGGATATCTCGTCTACGCCATAAGTGACCCAGGTTGACAAAAGCCAATCGAGCCTTCTGTATCCGTGTTGAGATTTTGTCAGTCACCAGGCCATCGGCATTGATGAGACTCTCGAGTTAAGTGAGGCAGTCTACGTGCTCGACTACGTCACTCCCGATTACTAGTTGAGGTGCAGATACAAGCGAATCTTGAAGCAATATTTTGCGTTTCCGCGAAGGGAATCTCATCGCGATCATGCACTCGACGAGTAGTGCTCGATTAGAGAGCTTGTATAAGGTTAATGTACATTTTTGGTACACCTTTTAGTGCGAGACACTGCCACAGAATCTCACGATCCACTGAGTCAAATGCCGCCTTTAGATCCTGGAAGACAACTATTGTAGGACGCCTAAATGTGGTTCTGTGTTCTAGGACCTGTCGTAGTGTGAATGTGGTGTATAAAGCTAAGTCCAGGTCTGAAACCAGCTTGATTTTCTCGAGTTTGCTCTTCACGAACTCTAGTCAGGCGTTCCAATATTACTGAGGTCAATATTTTAGATACTATATTAGTTAGACTGATTCTTCTGTGATTGTCACAATAGGACTTTTTTCCTTTCTTATAAATTTATCTAAGATCTCAGTCAATTTGTTAGGATGTTAATCAAATATCCTAAAGAAATTATTAGTAAATCTAATTTTAATGGTCTAATAATATCTATTTATCTAACATCTATTAATATTGGGATGTGTAGGAATGATTGGTTTGTGACCAATATGGTCTCGTTTGCTGTTGCGATTATGTGGGCTTCTCACACCGTGGAAGTGTGTTTCTGGAGAAACCTGAAAAGGAAGGTAGATTACTGTTGGTCTTAACAACCTGGGAGCGTGACCGCAGAGCCTAAGGTGTCGGTCACGCACGGCCTTTTATCGAAGGTTTTTCGAGTATTAGCTCCGCTCTTTTTGAAAGCCCTTAGTGGGCAGCCCTTACCACCGTAGACGGAAATCCGTGAAGTAGGGTGAGGTGTGACATTTTTAGGGTCGACGTTTGTAACCCTTCCTTCCTTATGAGAAGGCAGCATCGCTGCAGATGCTGGTTGTCCTAGGGAAACACCCTAATGCTGTCACACTCCTATCCAGTTTGCAGTACGACTTTGCCCTTATATCCTTCTTATTCTTAATGAAATTTAGTACTTTTATATCTGTTTAGTATGCAAACCGTGGTTGAAATAAACTCAAACGACTAAAAAGTAGCTGTCACTGTATGTGATTTCGTTTTGACCATTTCTTAGCAATGATTTTCATCAGTATATTTTATCAGCTGATAAACATAGAAGTTGACTTATTTGATATTTCCTTTGGTGCTCTATGGTTTTCAATTGTTTTATTGGTTGATATCGGTTCACAATAAAAAATCATCATAATAATACGAACTATTACAATAAGTGGACTTTGTACTTTCAACTTAATTGACATATCAGAATTGTGCATATTATCCATAATTGTTTTTTGTTTTTCAAGCCAGATATCAGGATGGTGAACATACATCTTCTGGATCCATTTCATCATATCCTACTAATACAATTGCACCAACTGTTCATACTCCACCTAGTCCTACTTCTATTGCTGCTAATAAAAAAGATTTAGAGAACCAAGAATGGTATTGGGGTGATATAACACAAGAAGAAGTACATGAACTGATGACAGATCTTCAAGATGGATACTATCTTGTCCGTGATGCTTCTGGGAGTTCGTCTGCTGCATTCACTTTGGTAGTCAGGTATACCGTTGTTATTTACTGACATATTTTGTGTTCTTAAGGGAAGACTTAATTTTGAATTGATATTATAATCCACTTACCTAGCACCCGTTATTAGGGATCGGGTGCTAGGTAAGAATGGCAGATCAATAGATGAAGTAATGAAACTTCATCATTTGAAGTGGTTGGGGCATGTGCTGCGTATGCCTAACCACCGACTGCCGCGACGAGCTATGTTTTGTGATGTACGAATAGGTTGGACGAAAGTTAGGGGCGGCCAGACCAAAACATGGCAGAAATGAATGAAGTAATTGACGAGTGGACTTAGCCATGTCGTTAGTTGTCGACCACCAGGTTGGGGTCCGCGAGATGATGGTATTCGATGGTTAGAGACCCTGAATGAAATGGCTCGAAACCGTTTGCAATGGCGCAGGTGCATTTATTCTTTGTGTTCTCTCAAATCCTAACCATCTAGGTTCTTCAACCCCTCTAGTTTTGACTTTCTAAACTTTTCTCATTTAATCATACTTCTTGAATAATATCTTCTAATCCTAACCTCTCCGATTACTTCTAATACCTTTACTACCTCTTCTACTATTGGATTTGAATTGACATTTACATTTTTGTGCTGATGTGGTATGGTGACATGAACTGATGTACTTACGTACGAAGTTGTACGTTGCATCTTACTGACTGACTATAATCCACTATTTGAAATATTTAAGATATTTATTCAATCAATAAAGGTTTTTTCTCGTTAACTTACTTTATGCTTGTTTACTTTGCTTTCTCACCATCTAGTTATGTTTTCTTCATATTGTTTCAATAGATGGCGCGGTTTAAATAAGTTGAATCGAATCTATCATCGTGGTGACTATTTTGGATTCACTGATCCGCCATATCCAAATTTTCGCCTCGTTTCTGAACTTGTTGAATTTTGTCGTGTTCATCCAATAACTTTGACTAGTTATAGTAATTTACGATTAGTTTGGCCGGTATCACGTCGTCATAAACGTTTTCATGGCAAAATTGACAGCTTATTCGATAATAATATCTCTAACGAAATCAAAAGCAATACAGATGGAGTGTTCGCATGTTTTCTAACTGAATCACAATTAAACAATGAGCTGAAAACTAAAGCTGCTGAAATTAATCAACTAGATAAACTAATTACCGATTTACAGCAACAGTCAAAAAATGCAATTGATTTGAAAGAGCAAGGTGTTCGTCTTATAAAAGGGTATCAGAATATCCGTAAATGGTTACAGACTTCATTGAGTCAGTTAGATGATTATTCTTATCCAAGTGAAAAGTGAGTGTAAATTTTAACATTGAAATGATTGTTTTCTTGTCTCTCCTGTATATATAGTAATATTACATCGTAACTATGGTTACATGCAGTATTACAAAGCATCTTTCAGATCTTTTGTCAAAACTTCATTGTTATAATGTTGATCCGAAATAATATTGTACATATGTTTTACAGGATCCTTTCTGGCTTTTTATACCATCTGCCAGTAACGTTGTACAACTTGATTACTGGCGTTCAATGTAAATTAAAGTAGTTGTTTCTCTTCGAATGATAATTTTTGATGTCAATAAGATCACCGGCACATTCATCATGTAACAAATTAGGAACGCGTTAATTAATCACAACAAAACTGATAATTTATTGGATCAAAAATATTATCAATATTTACATGAGTTTTACTATTTTATAATAAATAAATCTTATTTGTAACCATGAATCGATCAATGCTAGACCACTTGGAAGCACTGGACGGCCGTTTCGTCCTGGTATGGGACTCATCAGCAGTGCGCATCCACGACTCTTGCACCCCGCAGGATTTGAACCCAGGACCTTCGGTATTGTGCGCAAACGCCCCAACCGTTAGACCACTGAGCCGGTATCTAGCGGTGTTAATGTCTAACTTGCGCAACTCCGTGAATTTGATCAAGTTAGACATTAACACCGTTAGATGACGGCTCAGTGGTCTAACGGTTAGGGCGTTCGCCTACAATGCCGAAGGTCCCGGGTTCGCATCCTGCGAGGAGCAGGAGTTGTGGATGCGCACTGCTGATGAGTCCCATACCAGGACGAAACGGCCGTCCAGTGCTTCCAGGTTTCTAATGGTGGTCTAACATTGGTCGATTCATGGTTACAAATAAAACTACAATCCTCACAACAACCCCGCAATGCAATAAATAAATCAACAAAGGAAAAACAATTGATTATAAACTAGCAATAAATATCAACTAATGTTTGTATCAGTTGTATTAGTTTTGGTTTTTATAGATAGATTCGATTCTGTTGTCAAACTAGTAGTATTAGTCTAAGAAGCACAACTAAGTAAAATGTCACTGAAACACCAACGAAATTCTTTCTCTATGGTTTCGTGAAAGTGTTCATTGTGAATTTTGCACAATGTTTACAATTATATATACATATATATATATGTCATGGTATCATAATACTGTATTTTATAAAACCATCTATTTTTATTTATTTTTTTATTTATTAATTGTCATTGCGTTTATGTTGGGGATGTTAGATCCCCAAAATTCGCTTGATAATGCCGTATTTCGGTTTTCACGTTCGCCAGCAGGGGCTGATCAAATGACCTTGAGATTTCAATTCCCACCAGGAAAATCAATGGCTGTGATTGGCTACAGTGTATTTTAGTATGCTATTTTCTTAACTGTCTCAAGGACGTTGTTATGTTGTATAAATAAACGAGAGTTGTATGCTTGATTGTACTGGATTGCTGGGTGTTTGTAGAATATACTTTCTACGCTTACCAAGACTTCTGTTTTACCGTTGGATTCAAGGTAGCCTTCCTGGAAGCTGGTAAAAGTATCGTTCGCGTTTATCGACTAAGGTAAACTCGTAATAGCATCAAGCATCCTAAGTGACGAACATATCAGTGGCGACGGGGTTCACAATTCACAATGTCAATTAATCTGGAACAGTTAGAATCTTTACTGGAACGTCAAGGTAAACGATATGAACAGTTTCAGGAACGTATGTTGGAGCTGTTAATGAAACAAATGAATTTGAATCACAGAGGTTTTGCCGATGATTCATGTAATCCGCATACAGACTCGATAGTTAATTCCATTCATGAATTTCATTTTGATGGCCTTGCTGGTGTGACTTTCGAGTCTTGGTTTAAGAAGTATGAGGATTTGTTCAAGGTCGACCTCAACAATCTTGATGACGCCACCAAAGTCAGAATCCTTTTGAGAAAGCTCGGCACAATCGAACACGAACGTTATAGTAATTTCATCCTCCCAAAGAACCCACGAGATTTCTCTTTTGATGCTACAATTGATACGCTGTCGCAAATCTTCTCTGAACAGTCATCTCTCTTTAATATTCGTTATCAATGCCTCAAAATAACCAAGTCAAATGAAGATGACTGGGTAAAGCATGCTGGCTTAGTAAATCGTGAATGCGAACGATTTAAATTATCATCAATGACGGAAGATCAGTTTAAGTGCCTTGTGTTTGTGTGCAGCTTACAATCTCCCGACGATGCTGATATAAGAACCAGAATCCTAAGTAAAATTGAACAATGCCCAAACATCTCGCTTCAAGAAATAACTGCAGAGTGCCAGAGATTAGTAAACTTGAAGCATGATACCTCCATGGTCGAAAACAAGGGCCTCTCATCATACGTGCATTCCATTAGTGAAAAGAAAAATTCCAATTCGGCCCAAAAACCCAAAATGAATCCACCTTCTGCTTGCTGGCACTGCGGTTCATGTCACTATGTACGGAACTGCCCATTTAGGCAGCATAGATGCAGGAAGTGTAAAGTCATCGGTCATAAAGATGGCTTTTGCCTACAGAAAAAGCCAAAGCGATCCAGAAGTGCTAAGAAGCCTGTTCCTAGATCCAGTACCAATGCATTGAGCCTAATATCTTCCTGCCAAAGTTCATCACCAGGTGAGAGGAAATTTATTACTCTTAATATTAACGGTTATTTGTGTAGAATGCAAATAGATACTGCATCTGATGTCACTATCCTCTCACGCAAAAATTGGACCAAGTTGGGCAGCCCAAGCCTGCAGCACACAACACAAAAGCCTCGCACAGCATGTGGTAATTATCTTCGTCTGTTAGGACAATTGGAGTGTAAAGTTGCTTTCCGGGATTCGTCGTTTACTGGGGTATGCTATATAACGCCAGCTGATCTAAATTTACTTGGTTTAGATTGGTTCGACCAGCTAAAATTGGCTGATGTCCCGCTAAATACCATATGCAACCTGGTATCACAACGACATGACCCAGAAGCGTATACGAAGAAGCTGATGACAGAGTTTTCAACCATTTTTGAACCTGGATTAGGTCGGTGCACTGCTATGAAAGCAACACTTCGGTTGAAACATGGGGCTAAGCCTGCTTTTCGTCCAAAGAGACCTGTACCGTATGCTACATTAGCAACAGTAGATGAAGAGCTGGATCGCCTTCAACGACAAGGAGTTATTACTCCCGTTTCTTACTCCAGTTGGGCAGCACCTATAGTCGTTATCAAGAAGGCCAACGGCACGATACGTATATGTGCTGACTTCTCTACAGGTCTCAACGCAGCTCTAGAACAGCATCATTATCCTCTGCCAGTCCCGGCAGATCTGTTCACTATGCTGAATGGGGGAAAGTTCTTCGCAAAGCTTGACCTAGCTGATGCTTATTTGCAAGTGGAAGTCGATGAAGCATCTAAAGAGCTGCTTACTATCAACACTCATCGCGGTTTGTTTCAGTATAACCGTCTACCTTTTGGAGTTAAGACTGCGCCGTCTATCTTCCAACAACTAATGAATACAATCCTGTCAGATATCCCAGGGGTTGCAGCGTATCTCGATGATATCTTGATTGTTGCGAAGACGTTAGAACAGCTACGGGAACGCACGACATTGGTACTACAACGCATCAGTGACAATGGTTTCCGGTTACGCCCAGAAAAATGCCAGTTTCTATTGCAGTCGGTAAAGTATTTGGGATTTATCTTTGATGCCGACGGTCGCAGACCGGATCCTGAAAACATCCGAGCTATCAAACTGATGCCTACTCCCACTAATGTTTCCGAATTACGATCTTTTCTCGGTTTGATCAGTTATTATTCAGCTTTTGTTCCCTCGATGCATGATATTCGCGCTCCATTGAATTGTCTACTGCAGAAGCATAGCACATGGAACTGGAATAAAGAGTGTGACGCGGCTTTTGGTAAACTCAAGTCTATAATTAGCTCGGAATTGTTATTAACACACTACGATCCATCCATGCCGATCATCGTAGCAGCAGACGCTTCAGCATATGGCCTAGGTGCTGTTATTTCACATCAATTTCCAGACGCGTCGGAAAAAGCCGTTATGCATGCATCCCGTACACTGACCCCAGCAGAAAAGAAGTATAGCCAGATAGAGAAAGAAGCTCTTGCCCTTGTGTTTGCTGTTCGCCGTTTCCATAAGTTTCTGTACGGTCGGAGATTCACGCTCCTCACAGATCACAAGCCTCTGTTAGCAATATTTGGTTCAAAGTCTGGCATTCCAGCCCATTCTGCAAATCGTCTTCAGCGATGGGCCTTGGTACTTTTGGGGTATGATTTCGAAATCCAATATCGACGCACTCTACAATTCGGTCAAGCAGACGCTTTGTCACGACTCATTAATGATCAAGTGGCGGCTGAGGAAAACATGGTGATCGCATCTCTGTCAGTAGAAGACCACGCAGAATGTTATCTGACAACCGCAGTTCGCGCATTACCGGTGTCTGCAACAGACATACAAAATGCTTCTAGAAACGACCCCATCATCAAGATGACGATGAAATATGTCACTAAAGGTTGGCCGTCGAAAAAGTTTGAAGGTGACATCAAGCAACTGTATCAGCGGCGGGATTCACTATGCATCGTGAACGATTGTCTCATGTTTGGTGAAAGAGTAGTGGTTCCAGCATCCCTTCGTGCAAAAGTGCTGAGACAGTTCCATCTTGGTCATCCTGGGATTAAACGAATGAAGTCCATAGCCAGGAGTTATGCATACTGGCCTCACATGGATCAACATGTCACAGCGTTGGTTGAAAAATGCATGCGGTGTCAACAGGCGGCAAAGATGAATGCCAAAATTCCGCCGGTTTCATGGCCCAAACCTGAGCATCCTTGGTCCAGGATACATGTCGACTTCGCGGGCCCAATAAATGGAACTATGTATTTAATTGTCGTCGACGCCTTTTCTAAATGGCCGGAAATCAGCCCCGTTATGCCGCCCACTACAACTAAGACTATACAGCTCCTAACTGAAATTTTCTCACGAAATGGCATACCAGGTGTGATCGTATCCGACAATGGCTCTCAATTCACCTCTTCCCAATTCCAGAATTTCTGTCAACGGCTAGCTATTAAACACTTACGCTCGCCACCATACCACCCGCAATCGAATGGGCAGGCGGAAAGGTTTGTGGATACGTTTAAAAGAGCACTGCTCAAGTCAAAAGGGGAGGGGACGCCAGCCGAAACGTTACAAAATTTCTTGTACGTCTATCGGACAACACCAAATGAATTGTTACCGGAGCAAAAGTCCCCAGCTGAAATCCTGATGGGAAGAAGATTGAAAACGATCCACAGCCTGATGCATCCGACTAATGCACCCTCATCAGTAAAGACAAAGCAGCAAAGACAATCCGCTTACGAAGTAGGATGCCCTGTGTTTGCCCGCGACTACAGAACGAACCATGGTCCTTGGGTAGAAGCGAGAGTGGTCAGAAGGGTTGGTCGAGTTATGTACGAAGTAGAGGTAGGAGGTGATAAATGGTCACGTCATCGGAATCAGATACGCAGACGGCTAGCCCCAGATCGCCCATCAAGAGCAGAAAGCCTTCCCCTTGACATCTTGCTTGATACCTTCAACCTACCGAGAGCCCCGCCACGAGAAGAAACTCAGCAGCCAGCTGTTCTTCGTTCCCGAAGGTATCCCCTCAGACAGCGGCGAACAATAGTCAAGATGCAAGTCGACCCCAGGAGAACAAGCTATTAAAAAGGGGAGGAGTGTTGGGGATGTTAGATCCCCAAAATTCGCTTGATAATGCCGTATTTCGGTTTTCACGTTCGCCAGCAGGGGCTGATCAAATGACCTTGAGATTTCAATTCCCACCAGGAAAATCAATGGCTGTGATTGGCTACAGTGTATTTTAGTATGCTATTTTCTTAACTGTCTCAAGGACGTTGTTATGTTGTATAAATAAACGAGAGTTGTATGCTTGATTGTACTGGATTGCTGGGTGTTTGTAGAATATACTTTCTACGCTTACCAAGACTTCTGTTTTACCGTTGGATTCAAGGTAGCCTTCCTGGAAGCTGGTAAAAGTATCGTTCGCGTTTATCGACTAAGGTAAACTCGTAATAGCATCAAGCATCCTAAGTGACGAACATATCAGTTTACAAATCAATTTCACAACTATTAAACTTTTTCCACTACTTAGGTTAAAAATTTCACCTCAAATTGAAATGTTAAAAAAAGAAATAGAAGAAACAGAAAAGCAGATCAAGATTAGCAAGGAAGAAGTTAATAATCAATCTAAAAACGCTCGAATAATATGTGAAAATTATGCAAATGCACTTTTTCGTCAGCGTAAATTGAGAAGACAAGCTCACGAAATACGTCGAGCATTAAAAGATCGAGGATTCAAAGAAGAATCTTTATCATCTTCCAGTTCTTCATTGTGTGATGAGATCATTTCTTCGGGGAAACAATCGATTGATAATCAAATTATTACTATGCCGAAATATTCGCGTGATAATGTCGATATACCAGATGAAATACATGATCGTCGATATTGGTTCCTCACAGATGTTAACAGAGAAAAGGTAGAGGAGTTATTGAAGGATAAACCTGCTGGAACGTTTGTTGTCAGACCTTCAGCTGCCGGTGATAAACTAGCATTGGGTATAAGGTGAGTCTTTTGTTTAGTTTTATTACAGGTTATTAACCATAGTTTAGAAATACTTTGCAGCAGAATTATTTAAAATTATCAACACTAATTTTCATCAATTATATGGTCAAGAACATTCGAAAAGTTTTTAGAAACTAAACTTGAAAATATTACATTTGTTTTCATATCCAGTATACTTTTAGTGCTGTTTTCTATGATTTTAAACAGAACTGGAATTTGAATTTATTTCCTGAAGGGCAATTTCGATTTTTGCAAAACACATGTATTATAATCTTTAAATATGTTCTTATTTTTATAGAAATATTTAAGAATTGCATATTCCATGCTTAACATATAACATACATGTTCAATTTATTCATTTTATCTCCTACTTTCTTTTTCTGTTCAGATTAGAACAATCTATTCAGCATTGTTTGATTCATTGTGTGAATGGAAAGTATGGATTTGTTGAAAATTCTTGTACATTTGAAACACTGGAAGCTTTAATCTGTTATTATCATGTGGAGAATTTGAAACGTTACAATAATCTACTCGATATAACTTTAAAGTATCCGATTAGATTACATTTGGATGAGTGAGAACTATCAGTCGTGTACTTACCTAATTTCGCGACCCTGTTTTGTTCTGTTGATCTATATATATATATATATATATATATATATATATATATATATATATATATATATAGATGTGCATTTTTTTTGTATCCAAAATTAAGATCAATTATAGATAATTTTAGTCTTTTATTGTTAAAATTTTTACTGAAAATGTATTTTCCTTTTATCTTTCATTAGTAATTAACAGTTATCATGTGCCTTAAGTATTTATTGTTTGATAATATTCTGTGCTTCGAAAATGTTTCCATATTAAGTTATATTTACAATGCTTTTCTGTTGGGAAAAAAAGTACCATTGTAAAACCCTTTTTTTTTCCTGTTCACTTTCTTCTCCGCTTCTTTCTTATTTCTGTTGTTTTATTTTTCAGGCAATATGATTTTAGAGTTATATATATATATATATATATATATATATATATATATATATATATATATATATATATATATATATGATAAATTATGTGTTTGTGCAGATTAATACAAATCCACATCATGTGTATTGAATACTTCTCTGTATAGGTGAATATAGAAGACAACTATCATTATGATTATGATTATCAGTGGTGTTACTATAATACAGTTTGTTTATCATTTTTCCTTCACTTCATCATATCTCATGCTTTCTTAAGACGAGAAAAACACGAGAAACAAAAAAAAGTATTTTGGTGTACGCAATTGATTAATGATTATTTTACTACACTGAAATTTTCTGTACCTGTGATTTTCTTTGTTTTTTTATTATTTTCAACATCTCATTGTTGTTACTGATATAAACTTGCTACTTGCTACTGTATGTTAACAGTTTGATTGGATTCAATCCTTTTTTTTCATTTAAAAACTTAAGCTACTTATGATGATTGTTTCATCCTTACCATTTTCGAGTAAAGTCAACCATACGCGCTTTCATTTAATCTGAGAAATAAAAACAGTGATCATTAACTCTTGTAGCAAGATGTTCCCTTTTGTAGATCACCGTCTTGTAGTTATGTCAATTCTTATATTAAGAAAGTTTTTACTGTATATCAGATGTCGTTATTGATCGCTAAAAGGTGAACAGTCCGCAAAGACATGTTATCGTTACTTTTGTTCAGTTTTAAAATCTTAAAACTTTTTGCTCATTGTTTTCATAATTTTTCGATCTACAATTAACCATAATTTATATCATTACCTCGTCTCGCCTTATTCTATTGCCAAGAAGAAGAAGCCTTGACCTGAAGTTTTGTTTCAATCAAATTCTCTTCACGGTGAATTCAGGAGCTTTTCATGTGTGCTTAGCCTAAATTCAGTGCTGTATGATATCAGTCGGTCTTTTGGAATTATTAAATCTCAATACTCTATAGCAAATACTAATTTTAAAGAAAGGCTTTAATGTACACTGTGTTGATTAAGTTTTTTCTTCATTTTAGTGTAAATTCGCTCAATTAGTCTATTTACTCTTGTTTTGTATTCATTGAATTTTTATTTTGTCAACTAAAATTGATTTTCCAAGAAAGAAATTGCCGTTAAACAACAATTAAATATTAAAGGTGGAAAGCACTTCTCAACTAAATTTCCATGTCATTACTCATATAATCGAATTGTCTTTATATCAGTTGAGACTCAATCGATTTCAATAAGAAAGTAAAGATGTTTAAGTAAAAGGCATTAAAAACGATGTAATATGTAACTAGTAAGAGTTCAATAACTAAATAATTCAACGAATACAGCAAGCTCTCATCCTGATGTGAATTCAAATACAATTTTAAAACCATATATGTGATAAGATGCATGATGCTTTGTAGTTTAAAGGCTATTTCGTTTCTGCACAAAAGCGTTATCAGATAATTGCATATTTTAATGAAGGATGTGATTTATTTGACATCAACCCTATTCAGATAGAAACAAATAAGGTTTCTGAGGTTCTTTGTGAAGCAGATGTAGGTTGAATTATAGATTTTGTTTTTGTGCTTACTTTGTATACAGATACATATATAAGACACTGATAACTATTTTCGCATCCTTCACAGTTATGAACTGCGAAATCATATAGGAACTATCATAAGCTCGTAAGTATTGCGTCTTGAAACAGCATTAGCATATGCGTGACAAATCCTTGGTGATTATTATAGTTCACCTTACCGATAATAACAGAATGAGCATGAGATTTGACTGAATGCAAAGCAAGCGTTTTGTAGAAATTGGCATTAAACCTGATGTTATTGAAGACAATCAAGCCTTATAAAATCAAGTTTGAATTTCATTGGCAGAAAAATGACTCACAAAGTCCATCTTTAAATTGGATGCATCAGTTAAACTTCCAATTACCTTTATTCTAATAATTCATATTTTCTGTTTTATTTTTACTCGCAGTATACATCTATTCTGCTGACTAGCGCTGTATAATAATCAATAATCGAAGGAATCGGTGTGATTACAATTGAATAGAAGAATAAGATATATCAGTCCAAAATTACCAAATAGATATGATTCCAAGATAATAAAGGGTATTTTGATAGTATACAGGTCACTTTAGTTTCAATCTTTGTGTTCATGTGTCTAAAATAGTTTCTTTAGTTCAATACTAATTTTTCAAAACCAAGTTTTACTGATTGATAACCTGAGATGGCAATTATCTGCTGTTGACCACTTCTCAATAACAAGATTCGAATATTATTTGTCGGTATTAGAATTATGAGGAACGTCTATTACAGTTATGTTATAAGTTTGTTGTTCATATATAAAATATGCACCTTAAGTAAAGTTTATTTCAAGTGCGAACCTTTACACATATTTTAAATTCAAAAATAAATTTTATCTTTGCGATTGACATAATAATTTTAGAAACCCTCAAATCTTCCGATATTATTAATCTAATTCATCAGCTTTCTGGCTTCGAATTTTCTCAATATTTGGATGAAATTGAATATGGTGATTTCAGGTTATCATAAATTCCTAACAGCTTACCTTAAATGTTAACGAATCGATGCAAATTTGTTCAGTCTTTATATGAAATACAACTTTGGCAATCGGACGAGTAGAATCACTTTCCAAGTTGTACATTGAAAGACTAGAAAACATGGGCGTTTACTCTAATAATTGTCAAGATGTTCAGGGAAACTATGTGTTCTTATAATTTCTGGTACAGCGTGAAGACAGTCATCCATCCGCAAACAGCAAAGTTGTACCGTTGTCTAATCATCGCATACCATATCGGTATTGAAGAAATTCAATTGGGGTGTGATTGGATAGGATCTCTTCGGCTTCTCGAGTACCTCTGAAGGCTATCTTAACAAAATTAATCACGTTTCATTATTATATAAATTGGTTTAAACAATTTCGTTGAAAGGCGGATACAGATTAGGAGTTGTAGATTCCAAACTGGGAAGCTTTTATATTTTTTCTTCCTGAATCATGAGTATGATGTGTTGAGGAGTCTTAAATATCGACAACACGATTATCTTCAAGTCTATTTTCACCACAATTCTGTCATACAATATCTTCAAATTAAACTAATCTTTGTGAACTAGTTAACCAAAGAATATAGAATATACAAGCATCTCATGCTACCAAACTATGCCTAGCGTTTTCAATATTCGTCTCTCGGTATGTTAATTACAAAATATGAAACGCTTCACAACTTGCCGAGCATGCTATGTTGTTTGTGAATAAAGTGCATTCTTCGAATACACACGGGCACTGCCTATAATGACTTACTAAAGATCACTGTAAATCAGTCAATAGTTCAATTGTTCAATTTCCATTCATCTTTCTTTGACAGAATGTTCTTCGAAATCTACATGCAAATCAAATAAACTAGTCCTATGAAGAGCTAAATTATAAATTTCTGTATAACATAGACTTTAGCGATTCAATGTTTCAGTTTTTTTGTCAAAAGGTACATATTGATTTTTATACTTTAAGATGATCTCAACACCTAATTTCTTAAGTTGTTTTAAACACATGTTTACCTCTTCTTTATGTTCATCAAATGATTATTTATGTCTAACATTTATCTTTCACCTTTTATTTGCATTTTATTCACAACTTAATTACCCTTCGGCTATTACGTAACTTTTATTCTACATTTAAAAAGGCCCGATTAACGTTTCGTAGCTTTATTTATAACGCAACAATTTTCCATCAATAAATATGATTGCTAAGCTTTTGTTAATGACAATATCAAAATAGGACTTTTTTTCTAAACTGCCTTTGTTTCGCATAATGAAATAATTGGCTACATTTGTTCTCTTACAGGCAATATATATTACGTAGTTTAAAACGAAGCTACGTGATTGAGAAGTTAATTTACTTGCCTAACAAATCTTTTAGTCAGGCAATTTAAACGTTTTGATGTTTTCTCAAAACTTTCAATTGATACAACTGAAAACTGATAGAATATCGATGTTTCTTGTCATAGAAACATTCTAATTTTTCGATGTAATCGTTTTTGAAATGATATTCCGTTTTATCTGTTTAGTTTATAACATCTTGTCTCGATTGTGTTGAGTAATTATTCTGTAAAAATCTTCAGAGTTTTGAAAGTTTCAGTTTGCTTTAAAAACATATCCATAACTGGAATTGATCTTTTCTGTTCAGTCCTTTATATTAACCAACTACTTATGTTACATTATGCAAGTTGTCACATCGTTTGTATTCCAGTCTGCAGAGTGTTCATGTGTATGAAACTGATGAACTACAATCTAACTATTGATTTCGCTTTCGATAATTTTTTATTGTAAACGATATGATTATTGCGATAATAAAAACAGATTACACTTTCCCATGCATTAAATATCTTGCACTTCCATGAGACCCAAAAATGATCAAACGATAACATACAAAACAGTTTTTTTTTAGAAAACTGCAACTCTTCGTACACATAACCTAGAATTATAATACAAAAAATAATTGGTCTATATGTATTACATATATATTTTGTGCATTTTCATGTATCACAATGAACATTCTACTTTTATTCGCTGTCAAAACTAAAGAAAACAGCATATTGCTTTGTTGCTTCAGTAGAAACTAGGAGTTCAAATGTATGAATGTAGTTAAC